AGGAGATGATAACTGTGTTCTATCAATAAAAGGCTCATTATCAAGGATGTTTGAGACCTGGATATTTAAATAGTACGTAATTAACTTTAAAGGCTCTGAAAAACAAATTTACTTAAACATTCTCAATAATCTTGCAATATCTTTTGGTGGGAAAACATATTTTGCATTGGGCACAAAAGGGAATGACCAGGAATTTGTTCATTTTTCTCATTGCCATAACTACAGATTGAGGGGACGTTTCTTGTCCCTGGCTGTAATTCTAGAAAGCACAAGTGAGGGGCACCTGGGTGGCTCAGTCGGTTAAGTGTCTGCCTTCGGCTCAGGTCATGATCCTGGGGTCTTGGGATCGAGCTCAGTGGGGAGCCTGCTTCTCCCTCTCCTGCTCCCCCTCTGCTTGTGCGTACTCTCTCAAATAAATAAAATCTTAAAAAAAAAATTCTGAGACCATCCCTGCCAGAAAGTTTATGAACTTTTCTGAAACTTCAGAAATCTCAGCAGTTAATAGACAAAATTAACATGCTTTCTCCTGAAATGTTATTCTTCCCAGAATTAAATTTTGTGAATTTTTTGCTTCAATTTGATCTTTTGAATGTTTTCTATTATTCAAAAAGAAATCATTTATTAAGTGATACAGAATTTATAGTTCTTAAGGGATGATGTTTATAATGTCATGTTAGGGAAACACTGTATTAATATTTTGCAAAAATGTACCTGGTTTTTCAAACTTCAATTCTGAATGGCTGCATAGTTTGTATAAACCCATTAGAATATAAAAAGAAAAAGTTTTTTCTTTCTGCTTTTTCTGTCCCAATTTGATTAGGGTATGATGACTACATCAAGATAGGCATTAGCCCTAACAAACTTGTAATGGGTGTTCCCTGGTATGGTTATGATTATACCTGTCTAAATCTATTAGAGGTAAGTAAGGATTTTTCTTATATAATTTTTTTCTTTCTATTCTTTAAAGCCTGTTTTGTTTCATATGTAGAAGTTTGAGACTAAAAGTAGAGTTTAATTATTTAATCCCATGGAAGTTTCTGAGTGTTACATATTTTAATAATGAAATTTAACTTTTATTCTGTATAGTCAGTCTATTTATAGTATACGTTTTATTTCTAATATAGATTTAAGCAAATCAGAAAAACTATAACACGAACATTGTTGTATTTCTAGGATTGTGTTTGTACCATTCCAAAAGTCCCTTCCTGGAGGGCTTCTTGTGGTATTACCTCAGGACGTCAGGTGCCCTATAAAATAATTATGAAGCAAGTAAATAGTTCTATTTCTGGAAGCCACTGGGATAAAGATCAGCAAGCTTCTTATTATAATTATAAAGTAAGACTTTTCACAAATTATGAATCTTTATTCTATCCGTTTTCTTTTAGGGTACAATATACAGACTACTGTTTACATGAGTAAACTTGTCTAATCAAGTACTTTACTTTGCCAGTGAGGAGGTCAAGTTATAGTTGTCTAATCAAGTACTTTACTTTGCCAGTGAGGAGGTCAAGTTATAGTAATAATGGAACTGCTCTGCATGGGCCACTTGTCATTTTAGATGGTGTTATATCACAAACAGGATTTCCTTAATAGTTGATAATTATGTATGATAACTGTGGTTTTGGGCCAAAATAGGTTACTAGCTCTGTAAGCCTCCATTTCAAAGTAGCCTAAGGATTCTGATGAGGCTGTTTTATAGGGAGGCATGACGCTGAGAGTAAGAAATGCATTAGTGGAAAATGGTATAAACTATGTGATATTAGACAAATTATATTATAAACAAACACTGAAGAAACACTACCTGACAGACTTGCTCTGGTCATTTAGATAAATAGGAATTGCTATACCAAAAAGGCAAAGAAAAGTTACATTTTTCATAGTTTACCTTTAGCATAATAAAACTTTTCTACACCTCAAAAATCTAACTACAAATCATCTTTGAATTTACTTTGGATTTTGTCACTGTAAAAGGAGCCCTAAAATGTCATGATGTAAGTTGATTTCAGTAAGAATTTATATTCTTTAATATTTCATTTTGTTATACAGGCATGTACATCAATTACATAGAAAGCTTTGATGTAGAGCTTTCTAAATTTTGAAAATTCTATACCTATTCACTAACTAGGCTTGTAATCTATATAACTAATTAAGATCCATATTAAATTAGGGTATATTATACTCCTGTCTTTGCCAAACAGTTTACACTCTGACGTACTGTGTTTTTGTTGTCCCTGACTAACCTTCTTTAAAGTTTTAGAATTCAGGAAACATTTTGACAAGCCTTTGAAGGCCATTCATTTAATAGCACTTTAGACAACAATCTAGTTATAAAACTATTTTGTTTCTCTTTCATTTATTGTAAAATTCCATAGCAACCAAAATCAACTTTCTTATGCGCTTTCATCACGCGTTAATCTTACATTTACTCAGTTTTTCACCCTTCACTATTTTGAGGCATTTGAAATTCCTTAACAGTATCAAAAAGGCTCAAAGTACTTGCCACAATAATGGCAAAATTCAGAGACCTATGACTTTGGGTTTGCCCCCAAATCTGCAAAATTAAGTTCTATAAGTTGCCTTTCAATAGTTAAAGTTTTAAAGAGCTTGTAGTAAACGAGTCTACTATACTTAAATATGCCACAGTTTATTCATTTACCAAGTGAAAATTCTAGTGGTGCTACCATAAACATATTACTGGCATCCACTGAGAATTGCCTTTGAAAGTTTCCCAGATGTTATATAAAAACCAGTAAATTATTTGAAATCACAGTTCATTCTATTTTTTACTTCCTATCTTTTCCCCTTTTCCTTAACCCTTTTGCCTAGTTCTTTTTATCCCTTATCCAATAGCTTACCTACCTTCTAAGAGAGACTGTGTTAGTACTAGATAGAGGCAGTTGATGCTGGGGAGGACTTTACAGGCTAGTTTATGGTTCTTAATTCTGTAAGACCTATTAAAGGAGATATTTTCCCCACCCATTACCTTTTGATTTGGCTGATTCATCATGAACAAAATCATCCGCTGAGCTCCTAAGTACATTTCCAGGAACTGTAGGGAGTACAAAAAAATGCATAAGCTGGTTCTAGAGGACCATAGGTATCAGAATTACCTAATGGGATGGCAAAACACAAATATATGTCCTAGTTCCAACCCTGGAATATTTTGATTAAGTAGGTTTCATGTGGGTCCCAGGAGTTTGTACATCTTGGTTGATAATCATCAGATCAGACCAAGGAAGGAATCTTACGGCATGAGAACATGAAAAGGACTTTAAAAACAGTACAGACTACATTACAAAGCTCATTTGTGTAATCTCTGCTGTTGTGAAAGTACCACAAAGTACTGTGCACTAAAATTTCTATTATTTCACTGTATTCTTTTTGAATCGTTGGATTTAATATTCTACTGAATAGTTTAATTTATTCTTATAGGATTCTTCTGGCCATTTTCATCAAGTGTGGTATGATAACCCTCAGAGCATTTCTTTAAAAGCAGCATACATACAAAAGCATGGCTTGCGAGGCATTGGCATGTGGCACGCAAATTGTCTTGACTATTCTGGAGATGCTGTGGCCAAACAGCAAACTGAAGAAATGTGGAAAGTCTTAAAACCAAAGCTGTGACAGATAATAGTTTTGTCAAACTATTAAGATTTAGAAAAATGATCAGTATAAATCAGTTTCTTGAAGAGATAAAAATGTACACATTTTTGTCATGTCATATAGTTATTCTACTTAAAAGCAGATAAAGAAATGCTTTGGTTGTCTAAAAACAAAGGTAAGAAATCAACTTACTATATTATTTTTCTATGTTTACTATAATTAGGAAAAATTTTCAGAATTTTATTATGCTAATTTAAAAAATATGTATAATTTGAAGTGGAAATTATTTGCTCAGAGTAGATTTTTAAAAACCTAGACTATGAGAAGCCATTTGCTCTATACTTTTTGGTCAATAAATTTATTTAGGTTCATCAAGCTGATGTGAACAATTTTTCTGTTCCTGATTTCATATAGTACTCAAGTTCTCTGATGCACTTCAATTAAACTCACAAGTCTCCAGGGTGGGGGGGAAAGGATTAAAATACAAGATAATATTTTGAATTAGTAGGTTAGAGCTACCTAATATTTTTCACCAAAATTATTTTTATGAGGTTATAGCAGAAACTTTACCTTTCTAATTATTCTTTCATTTATGAACATCTATAATTTATTTCTTAGTTTATATATGCATTTTACTTTTAATTAAAGACATTGGTTTCTCAATTATTTTCTCTGCACAATGTACAGAGGTCTCTGTTCTCTTAGGGCAATTAAGAATATTGTGTTATATTAGTTCCTATAAACACAGATTAAAAATCTGCATCCTTGAACTCTGGACTTACATAAATCTGTCTTCCCTGTATATTCTCTCTGCCTTCAAATTGGAATTATTGAGAATATGGCAGAGGAAAATTCCATAGTATCTGTTGAATTACTACTATTGTCTTTAGTATCTAAGAATTTAAAATTTTAGAAATACAATCTGTATCTCATAGCTCTGGATGTAAGTTCAATATCCCTATTTTATATTTCCAGATTGCTTTTAATTAAAATACAATGAACAAACTGTCTCTAAGACTATTTAAAAATGAAAATTATAATACTTAAAAGCTTCAAAACTAACTAGCCACCGGTTTGCTTTTTTTTTCCTGAAACACTTTGTAAAATCCACATGAAAAGTGAAAAAATATGATTTATATAAAATATTGTGCCAAGGAGAATAATGGTTAAATTTTTTGACAAGTTTTAAATTAACATACCTAATTGAGATTGTAAAGATGTGTTAATTTTCTTCTGTGCCACTTCAGTTTTCAATGTGCGTAAATCTGAAACTGCTTGTTTTCTCACCTGTAAAAAGAATCACCTTTCAAAAATGAACTTTGATCTTACCCTTCTAAAATTGAGAGAGGCCTAATTGAATGCTGCTAGTGAAAAGAATCTAGAATTGCATTATTCAATACAGTAGCTAAGTGCCACATGTAGCTATTTAGAGTAACAAATCATAAAATTTAATACTCAGTTCCTCAGTTACACAACAAGCTACATTTCAAGCGCTCAATATCCTCATGTGGCGGCTGTATCCTTGCAGAAAGTTCTGATTAAGAATTGAACTCTGAGCTTTTATATAATTATATATGAAAATAATCAGCATGAGATAATTACCCCCAGAACAGGTAAAAAAATTAAATGGAGCTCAGAGTTCAGTGGTTTGTCAGATTTATGGATCACTCTAATATGTGAAAATTACTTTTAAAATATTGAGACTATATACTGATTCAGAAGGTCCTTTTCCTTTAAATCTTAGGGAAATTCTACTAATTTTACTTTGGCCTTGTTATAACATGCACCTTTACACAGGATTTAATTCTTGCATTTTTTTCACTCCTGCTCTTGGTTGTTAAGGTAACAATTTTAAGACAATCCTTACTATCCTTATGCTACTGATACCCAAAATTAAAATACTAAAACAACTTATTTCAAGATAAATGTTTATCTGATTAGGAAAAATGCAAATTACCTTAACTTCTATCATGAGTTTCATTTTGTCAGTATCCAGTTTTCTCTTAAGTTGGTCAATTGCATGCTGTACTTCAGTGATCTGGATTATAAGGTAATTCTGTGTGAAATACATAAAGACCTCCTTATAACATCTATTTTTATTTTTAATTGCCTTGTAAACTACGAAGTGATAATACCAAAAAAGCAAATCATAAGAATAACCTATTGCATAAAATAAACTCATTGCTTTGGAGTAAATTTCTTATGTCTCAGGGACCACATTCTCTTCTGTTCTACTACCTTTATTCACGTTTTATAAAAATAAGTAGATATCTGCACAAGTTGCCATTAAATTAGCACCACAAAGGCAAGAACTATTACTACAAAAGGAAGATACTAGGAAAGCTTTTGAAATTGTCATTATACTTCATTAGCTGAATCAGATTAGTATTACTTAAAAGCCTTTTTGGCTATTTTTGTTTAGAAAAGTTTATGAAGTATAGTGGTCAACAAAAACTATTTGGTAAAACAAAAAATCAGCTATGCAAAATAAAAAGTATCAGCTAAAATGGACAAACCATTACTTGAACCTATTTGAGTTTTACATTAGATTTATCTAAAATGGTAAGCTTTTACTCATAGAAACAGATTTGTGGGGGTAGGTGGGTAGAGAATAATGTCCAGCATGATAACTATAGTTAAAAATATTGTATTGTGTATTTGAAAGTTGCTTAGAGAATAGACCTTAAAAGTTCTCATCACAAGAAAAATAGTTTATAACTAAACATTGTAATTATTTATATCAAATCATGTTGTATATATCTAATGTTATATGCCAATTATATCTCAAGAAGACTGGGGAAAAATAAAATAGCAAACTTGTACTATTTCATCATGTCTAAAGTTAAATCCATACTTGTAATCATAATTAACATATAATCTTTTTTGGTCAATCAACAAAAATTGATAAATGGCCTCTAGAATTCATTTGTTGTATATAGATGGTAGAATCACTCAATTAAAAAGTAAACTTCATATTTCTGATCTATCAAGGTTCAATACTATCAAGAAAAAAATCAATTTAATAATTTCCTTAGAATATTAATACCTTTAGATTCTGTGGGTCGAAAAGGAATGTAGTGCATACTGTTGATCCCCTGCCATATTTCATCAGGTATTCATCTCTTTTCCATAGATTCAAAGAAAGTGACCCTATCCCCAGGTACAGAGGTAGATCCCAAGTAGTCTAAGTTAGCACACAACACTCCCTAATAACTACTATTAATCCAGGTTAGGCCTGGCTGAACCCCCATCAGGCTAAAAGAAAAATTTTATATTTTTTTTTTTTTTAAAGATTTTATTTATTTATTTGACAGAGAAAGACACAGCGAGAGAGGGAACACAAACGGGGAGTGGGAGAGGGAGAAGCAGACTCCCCGCCGAGCAGGGAGCCCGATGCAGGACTCGATCCCGGGACTCCAGGATCATGACCTGAGCCGAAGGCAGTCGCTTAACCAACTGAGCCACCCAGGCGCCCAAATTTTATATATTCTTATTTGGGAGGCATATAGCCCTACTAGCCATTGGCAACTCTACTTGTACCATGAGGAAAAGCAGTCTTATTAAGAAGCCAACACTGAAAATAATAGGGAAGAACTATTGGAAGCGCCTAGTCTCTTTGAAGATAACATTAAGCTTCTGATTATATCTTTTCAGCACCATTATATGAGATCATAAATTTTCGTATTGTTTAAGTCAGGTTAAGTCAAGGTTTTGTTACCTGTAGCCCAAAGCATCCTACATATGATAATACTAATAATGATAAACCATGTATTTTGAGTAGAATTCTCTAATAGAAGGTGAACACATTTAGTAATAAGTACCTTAGAGTCTGTGATGTTTGCCAGATTCTTTGGTCTCATCTTGATCTCCCTGGCTTCAAGTTGCATGAACAGTTTTTTATAGTAAAGTTCCAAATCTTCTCGAAGTTTTGTTAAAACCTCCTCTAATGATGCTGTAATTTTCTTTGTTTCAAAGTATTTTTTCTTCCAACCATCACAGGCTACAAAAAAAAGCAGACTATAGTGTGAGTCTGACTAAAGGATTAAACTTTTCCATCTGGAAAGGACACGAGTTAATTTAAACCCTTCTACGACCCTACCCTTCTTCCCTCATTCATATGTTGAGGAAATTAAAGCAAAGACTGAAATGTTTATTAGATAAAAGGATTTGCCTTACGAATATAGTAGTGATAAACATAGGAACCAAGTTCTTTAAACTTGTAATTTCTGAAAAATCTTGATTAAAAATATTACCTATAGAAAATGTGTCTATTTATTTTGATCACTTTTTTCCATAATCTGATTTGAAGTCATTAATTAAAATGATAAACAGAAAGGCATAATATTTTTTCAGCCCCCAAAATATGTTTTATAAAATAAGCTGATTCTGATTCATCACTTATTAAAATTATTCCAAATATATCTCCAAGCTTATCTTAAACCTGAGCCCCTTAGTTGAGAAAATTAGAAATTAAATACTGCCAATTTAGGGAATCACTTTGACACCAAGGAGAGTCTAAATACAAACTTAACAGGAACACAAACTGTATGCTACTATATCAGAATATGCATATGTTTAAAAGATTATCAAAGAAATGAAAACCCCAAATTTAAAAAGTCTATATGGTGATTTGATTAAAATTCAAGAGTTTATTTCCCTCATGCCTTATATCCAATCTCTCAGCAGGTTCTATTGGTACTATTGCCAAAATACTTCCAGCATCTGGCACATTCTACCTTCTTCAAAGTTATGTCCCTAGTCAATCCACTACCTTTTTTTTTTTTTAAGATTTATCCTGAGAGCGTGCACACGTGTGTGTGTGCAGAGGGAGAGGGAGAAGAATCTCAAGCAGACTACCCACTGAACACAGAGCCCAACATGGGGCTCGAGCTCACAACCCTGCGATCATGACCTGAGCTGAAATCAAGTCAGATGCTTAATTGACTGAGCCATCCAGGCACCCCACTATCATCTTTTGAAAGTACATTATGTTTCTAACTGGTCTCCCTGCTTTCATTCTTGCCCCTCTAACCGGCTATTCCATACAGCAGTCATTCTGATCTTTTAAAAATATTTTTTAAATCATATAAACCTCTAGCTTAAAAACCCAACAATGGCATCCTACCTTACTTAGAATAAAATCTAAACTTCTTGAATTGGCCTATCTGTTCCTTGCTGAGCTTTTATTTTCCTCTACATTACTCTGTATTACGTTCCAGCCACACTGGCCTCCTTTCAGGTCCTTACTACTGCAACCTCATTTCCATCTCTAGACCTTGACATTTTAGTGTTCCTTCTGTTCAGACTGGTTTTTTTCCCCCCTCTCTTTACCTGCCTGCCTCCTTATTAATCATATCTTAATGATATCGCCTCAGTGATGCCTTCCTTGAAAACCCTAGCTAAAGCATCTCTCCTGCCCCACCACCCTTTACTATGCTTTTTTTTTTTTTTTTTTAAATGGACTTCTGAGCTCTGGTCAGTAGCTGATATTGTCTTATTTGTTTACTGTCTGTCTCCTCCCATTAGAAGCAAGCTCCTTATGAGCAGGGCCTTGTTTATCTTGTTTGCTGCTATATCCTCAGCATTTAAAACAATGTAGGGAATGGAGCACATAACCTCAATAAATATTTGATGGTTGATACATGCCTTTTATCTTGAAACATTCCTGTTAAAATAGAAAGTGAATGATCATTCTCATAAACAGAAAAAGGGAGGCACAAAGAGGAGAAATAAGTAAAAGACTGATCTGGTATTAGAATCTTGATTTTTAGTCCATTACTCAAATTTGTCTGATAAAATCACTTTTAACAGTACAAAAAAGCCGAGTCATTGCCACCATTTCCAGGATAACACTTAATATTATGAGGTGGAACCTGCAGAATTATCTCCTGACATTGCCTATAACCTTCAGTCAGTTCTAGTACTGAAGCAATAATTTTGCTGTAAATTGAGGATCCTAAAACCAGTTAATTCCATTTATACTTTTTATTCATATAATCCTCAAATACAATCCAAAATGCAGTCCTTTCAAACCCTTTAACATCTCTCAAACCATTATCCCATACTTTCTCCATTCTGGCTCATTTTTTCCATGTCTACCAGTCCTAATAATACTTGTTTCTAATTCTGTTGCAAGAAAACTAGCTGCTTTTCTACCTAATTTCTCTCATTCCTTCAATTCACTCATTTAGGTTAGCTAAGTAGATAGACACATAGCACAAAATTAAGCATGTAGGGAGGACTAGGATCCAGAGATTGCTTCTAGAGTAAGTGATATCTAAGCTGAGATTGAATGACTAGTAGGAAATAGCCAGGTGAGCTGGGAAGAGGGGAGACAGAAGGAAAAGATGTAGTTGACAGAGGGAAAAACATGTCTGAAGGCCTATAGCCAAGAAGAGGCACATTTCAGATTCTAGCATACTTAAAGCTTTTCCTGGGAGCCTTTCTTGATCTCTTCCATCTAATTTGGGTGTTCTTCCTCTGTACTCCTCTGTGTACAATTCTGTAATTCCTTTATCATGGCATCATCAGGATGCATCATTTTTGTTTTCTTGATTATCATTTTCTCACTGGACTATAAGCTCTTTGAGGGCAGAGACAAAATTGTGTCTGCCTATTATCTCCTCAGTCCCTAGAACAGTGGCTAAATTCAGTAGACAATAATGAATAAATAAATGTCAGTTATAAAAAAATTTGAACTTAAAATTTTAAAAACCTTCTGTAAAGCATGCCAGTGATAAAAGATGTAATAAACTTTACCATGATATCGCTTCAATTTGCTTTGTTCAAATAGCTTTTCAACTTTTTTTATTAGTTCTTCTCTAATTCTTTCCAGATATCGTCTTTCTTCCTTTACTTGTTTCATTTGTTCAATAATCTTCTCTCCTAAAAGGTAATAACCCATCAATGTCTAAAAGCTAAAAGCTGGAAGTGTAAAACTTTTAAAAGTAATTAAAATAGCAAGAGTAAATTTTACCCAAAAGTCTGGTTTTTTTGCTGCAGTATAGCATTTGCCACTATGGAAAATACTGAGGAGTCATTTCAGTTTCTAACAGAGATACATAAGGGGATTTTCAGATAAGTAAAGAGTATCATATGTCTCTTCTACATTTACATATATGTGTAGAAATTAGGTAAAGTTAAAGTAGTTATGCATCTTGGTTTAATTCTTTTGGTAAATTTATCTTGGACCTAGACTTCTTGTCCTTACATGAAAAATGTGTGTGTGTACACACATATATACGTAAAGATTTTATTTATTTTCGAGAGAGAGAGTGTGTGTGCATGAGCAGGGGCAGAGGGAGAGGGAGAGAGAAATCTCAAGCAAACTCTGCACTGAGCACAGAGCCCAACGTGGGGCTCAATCTCACAACCCTAAGATCATGACCTGAGCTGAAATCAAGAGTTGGATGCTTAACAGACTGAGCCACCCAGGTGCCCCCAAAAATGTATATTTTTAAAAGCACAAATATTAGTAATTAAACATATGCAGTAATTAACATATAATTCACATACTTTAAAATAATGTAACATTTTTGTGGTAAAATACACATAATCAAATTTACAGTTTTAACTATTTTTAAATGTACAGTTCAGTGGCATTATGTACATTCACGATGCTTTGCAACCATCGCCACCATCTAGCTCTAGAACTTTATCTTCCCAAATTGAAACTCTGTACCCATTAGGCAATAACTTCCCATTAATAGTTAACTTTATCTCATAGAATCATCTGTACTTATAGTGTCATCATACTTACTTTCAATCTGTAATAAAGAGATATCAGTTATTCCGGGAGAAAGAGCAGGTTGACAAGGAAGTGAAGGAAAATCAATAAGCTCTGGTAGGGTGATGCACTCTTTTTTACCTATCTGTAAGCAAACATGAAAATCAGTAGGATATGGTAGGATGACACATTACTTTTCACCTATCTGTAAGCATTTGATAATTCACAACAGCAATGCATTTTTTTTTACTCATATGGTGACGAACTCCCAAATCTTTATTTATAACTATAGAGATTCTCTCTTGTGCTCCAGCTTCTCCATTCCACTATTCCTTGGATATTATACACAGGCACTTCACTTAATAGGAAAAAAAAAAAAAATCCATTAATCCTTCCTAAACATGATTTCCTTCCAAGATTTCTTAGTTACATGTTACGATTTTAAAATTTTTCTAAGATGACTATTGATTTTTTTAAAATTGGGTCAACTTTGATAATTTATATCTGCTTTGAAAATTAGAATATGTATTACATTTTCAAATTTTAGCATATATTTTATTCTCATACATTTTATCTGCTCTGTATTTGTTTGTATCACCTTTACCTTTCCTAACTTTTGTGTTACCACCCTTTTACGATAAACTACCTTAAGTCTTACCAATGTTGATGTTTCTCTCACTAGCACTTCATAGATCTTGAGTTGTTTTCAATTCTGCTAGGTTTTTTACTTCTGTAACTTCTTAGTTTCTTCTTCTATCTTCATTAAATCCTTACCCCTTTGTTTTATTGTTCTTTTCCTAGTTTTTAATGTTCAGATTCCAATAAGATAATGGCAACCACCTAAATTACAATCTCTCCATATATCTTCCCAATTACTATAAAAGGAAAGCAAATAAAATTACCCATAATTTATGTCTACAGCATAACTAGGACACAGACTCCTTTAATCTACACATACTTTACTTTACATATAAGTGGGGAAATAAACACCCTAGACTAGCAGAATGTGCTCAGGAGCCCACCTACAAGCATATGTGGACTGTGCATTAGAGATTGCTATACAAAGATAACACAATAAACAACCACGATTTAGTCTAGAAGGAGAGGACCCCACATGCATAGAAGAAATACTGAGAGTAAGGATAAGATCTTGTAAGTCAGAGCACTTTTGATGAGGAGGCCAAAAGAAACGGATTATAAAATGTAGGGGGCCAGAGGTGGTAATCATGGGAAGGCAGCTTCTAGGAGAGAGAAAAATACTTTGGAAGAGGTGTTCCCTAGGGCCAGGTGGTAAGAGAAAAGAAGAAAGTGGCCAAGATAACAGCTCTGCTGAATTAAATTAGTAGAAGAGAATTCAAAGAAAATAGACACCAAAGACCCCATTTAAGAAATAAATAGCTGCATTTCGCTATATCAACAGAAGAGGGAGCTCCTTATCTAAAAAGCAAAAGAACCACCAAACCACCACTCCCTGTTCCTCTGTAAGAACACCTGTTATTATTACTTATATGGAGAAATCCAACACAAGTAAACATAATACAAAATAATCTAGCATCCACACAAATTTACTTTTTAAAACCCTCAAAACAGAACTAAGACAAAACATGCAGCCATGAAGCAGAGAAAGACTTAACAATACTTCCAATATAGATTAAATGTAATTAAGCAAGCATTTGTAGATACCAACAACACAATAAATCAGAAATTTTAAAACTCAGAATAAAATAGGAAAAACAACAGGAAGATATGAGATGAAAGTTGGCTAAACTGAAGAAAGAAATTAAGGGAAAAACAAAATTGTTTCACAGATGAACAAATTAGCACATATCCAAGAAGGAACAAATATGGCGAAAAAAAGGATAGTGGAGAATACAAATAAAAAGAGCAAAGAAAATGAAACACAAAAATATAGTAAAATATATCTATTTTACTATTTTTATTTATATCTATTTTGTATGTTATTTAGAGAAAGTAACATATATAAAAGGTAAAGAAAAAAAAGAAAACAATAGAATGGATCTACTAACTGAATTGTTTTCTGAAATTATAATTTTAGAAAACGTTCCTGAAATAAAGAAGTCCTAATTTTCACACTGCAAGGATCCACTGTGTACCCAGAAAAACCTGATCTAGAATTCTCAATTGAGATACCGTCTGGTAAAACTAGTACACATTAAAGGACTCCTCTGGCCTTCCAGACAAATATACGCAAGCTAGTGTACAAAGAAAAGAAAACAAGGCACCACACTTATTAGTAACATATATAAAACAAGACATCAGTAGAGCAACATTTCAAAGAAACTGAAAGGAAAAAAGATCAAGCTATCCTTCAGGTAATAAAATTCTGTAACGTGGATTAACAAATTTTGTAAAGGGCCAGAGAGTAAATAATTTAGGCTTTGTGGGCCACATATGGTCTCTGTCATGATTCTTCTTTTTTTTCAATTCCTTAAAAATGTAGAAAACACTCTTAGGTCCAAGGCCTTACAAAACAGTCTGCAGGCCCTAGTTTGCTTAACTCTGCTCTAGACAAAGTTTTAAATGTGGAAGAAGAGAATATTATAGTGAGGTGCTTTTTTAAATTGAACTTAATTCAACGAAGAGATGATTGAAAAATCTGCAAAAGAACTGGCAGTAAGTGTTGAATATATTTAATTACAGATCTGAGACTAAAACAAAAGCTGAGGGGGTAAGAGTAGAAGTATGGTATATAAATGTTATATTCTTTGACACAGTAGAAATAACACAATTAAAAATACATGAGAGAAGAAAGGAGATTTTTTTTGATCCCCCTGAATATAACAGGTAGGAGTCAGTGGATAATTTTAGAGGTAACAAAAGCGGAAGCATACATTTTTAAAAAAGGAAAAAGACTAAGAATACTAGTATAAATGTATTAGTGTAAAGGTAAGCACTAGAACAAAAATACAACCTTCCTAAAACGAGGAGGGGGGAAAAGTACAAATAAACTACATAGTAACTCACAGTAACTGTAACATAAAATAAAATGACAAATCTCAGGACAAACACATCAGTCCTATCAATAACATAAGCAGACATAACTCACCTATGAAATGAAAAATATTTTCAGACTGTCTCACAAAGCAAAACCCAACTCTATCTAAGCTGTACATATAAGACATACCTAGGGGTGCCCGGGTAGCTTAGTCAGTTAAGCGTCTGCCTCCGTTCAGGTCATGATCTCAGGGTCCTGGAATCAAGCCCTGTATCGGGCTCCCTGCTCACTAGGGAGTCTGCTTGTCCCTCTCCCTTTGCCCCTCACCCCAGCTCATGCTCGCTCTCTCTTGCTCTGCTCTCTCTCTCAAATAAATAAATAAATAAATAAATGAAAATCTTAAAAAAAGACATACCTAAAACAAAGCAATTCAGAAAGGCTGGATAAAAAGTGGGGAAGGAAGATGAGGGTATGCCAAATAAATGTATACAAAAAGAAAGCAGGTTAGTATCTTGATATGCAATAAAGAAGAATTCGGGCCAAAAAAAAGCATTAAAAGGGTCAAAAAAGTGCAAAAGTGATTCTAGTGTTCACATAAGAACTTCGTGCCAAATAACATATAGAAATCTAAATAAATCAGAAACCACAGGAGATGTAAGGATAAACAGTAACACACTAATAATAGGAGATTCTAATATACCATTCTCAGTCTAAGACATAGCAAGAGAAAATAATATGGATATGGAAAAAATAAGGGTATGGAATACTTAAGGCATTCAGCAAGGTAGACTATAGACAAGGCACAGAGTAGAAGATACTTGCAACATACATAAGCATCAAAGAAATATCTTTAGAGTACTTAAAAAAATTATACTAATCAGAAACATATAGCAAACAACTCAAAAGAAACACTTGAAAAGGTACTTTCAAAAGGTTACCAAAATGGAGTCCGTAAAAATATTAAAACATGACCAACTTTATGGATAATCTGAGAAATTAAAATTCAAACCATGGATAGCATTAAGCATCCACTAGACTGACAAAAATTTTAAAGCATGAAGATAGCATGTTTTATTAATATCCAGCAACAACAGAACCATTATTTGCTGAAGATGATGTTCCTTTTGCTCTAAAACCCAAGGGCTCTGAGCTGTGATTCCCCTACTAGGGCTTGTCTCAGACTCCATTCAGCATTCCAATCTACTACACATCAGGCAGCACTGTATGCGCGGGCCGTTAAAACACAAGTGGCAACACTGCTTGCAATGTCTCTCAGATCACCCTTTGAACCTTCTCTTGCTTTGGGCCCAAAGTTGGCGTCTTTTAGATTACTTTATTAAAAACAAAAAACAAAACAAAAAATCTGAAGCAGCACATCCAAATGTGGCAAATCTTTCTCCAAATTCAAGAGGTCCATCAAATGACACATTCCCAGTGATAACTAGGGCAAGATATACTAACCTAGCTTTCACTTAAAGGGCGTACCTCAACATGTCCCACCCATACCATAGAACACCCAAAAATTTCACTGAAATGGTAAGCTCCTGAATTTTCTTGAGGCTTATCTCCCATCCTATAACCTTAAACATTTTAAGCTGCAGTTTTGTTTCAATTTAAGTATAAATGTTGTTGCAATACTGCATTTAAACAAAAACTTTAAAATCATACCTGATTGTCCTCTGTTCTAATGATATTAACTCCATCATCTTCATTTTTCCAAAGAAATTGACTTAAAGGGAATGACAGATTTGAAAATCATATTAAAAAAAGATTCCATGAATATTATTCACATTTTATATCTTATTTGATATTCTATAAACACAAATGTAACATTAAAACCTTTTAAAAAGCCTGAGACCATAGCATATTATCTTTCAAACTCATTAATGATCAACATAAACTACATTTAGTTTGAATAAGAAAATCATATTTAATTATATTACAGCTAAATTCAAATCACATTGCAATGTCTATAGCAAAGTAAAATAAAAATTTTGGAAACATATTTTGTTTGTAGTTCTTTTGAGAATGATTGTTTATAAAATCCCTTATCTTAACTTCAAAAGACTATATGCAAAACTGTTGTCTAAATACTATAATTCTGAATGAAATGATTCCATATGAAGCTCAAGCACACTAGTTAGTTTACCCATAACCAAGAATCTAAGTGAGGCAGAAAAATTCTAATAAAGGCAAATAAAGACAAATTTTTCTGTCATTACTCTGCCCTTGATGATAAAATAATTATAATGGAAATAAATTTAAGGGATAAATTATTCATTATATTAGAGAGGAATGTTCGTATATAACAGTAGAGATTAGAATCAAGGTCATTTTAACTAAAAATATCACTAATTTCACTCATATGTTTGTTCTAATTAGAAGTCCTTATAAAAGTACCCTGGATATCTCACTCTTTCTTATAGACTATGATATGTGGAATCAACATCTAAACTAATTACCTTTTTTTGTTGCTAAAATAATCACTATTTGATTCTCCCAATGATCCTGGAACTTCAGAATTTCCAATTTGATTTTTTCCAGTCTGGTTTTCTTTTGGAGTGGCTTTTCCCCCAGCTGATGTTGCTGTTCATCCACATCAAATAAAGTTCATAATATTAAGAAAATAGTAAAATAAAATTTCATACAAATATATATATATATGTACATACTATAATCTTGTCCCATGTTTCAGAATCTCCATGGACTCTACAATTCATGATATAAGGCAACAATTTCCAAAGTGAATTTCATGAAACAGTTTATGTGAAGAATTCTTTGGTCAATTCAGTTTGAGAAAAAACGAATACCAGGAATATACACTGCCCCCCACCCCCACCCCCCTGCAGGATTTCTCTGTTTTTATGTACAATGTGAATCTGCAAGATGGGGGTAAGTTAGGTTTTATTCAAACTTGTCTTCAGAAAGTTTTGCCAAAAGCATCTTTTGAAACTGTATTGAGGAAATTTCCTTGGAAAATACAGAGCATATAATGTCATTTGTTATTTCACATACATTTCTATTTATAAAACCTCCCTTCATTTTAACAAAATATCCCCATATAGGAAAACTATGCAATGTCTTTAAAATGTTAACATTGATGTTCTATATGATCTATATGAACAAAAGATCTATGAACCTGGCAGTGTTAATGCAGATATTTTTCCTGTGGATAAATCAAATTTTTTAATTTAGAAAAAATTAATGAGTCATGTTAATAATTGAAAAATCATTTATAAGGGTTGCCACAAAATTTTGCAACTTGAAGCTCATACTGATTTTAGTCTAGTAGCTACATTTCCCAGCTGGTACATTTGAAATAGTCTTTTTAGAACAACAAACAGGGATTTTCTAAAGGATATATATGACGCAAAACGAACAAAACCCAGATATATCAGCTGTTTAAAAGCTAATAGTAAAATACCATCCCCCCACCCACCCAAAGAAAGAAACAACAATGCAAAATTCAGATTTTGAGTAATTGTGATAGGGATATGGCACATGTATCTCGTTCCTAGTAACAGCTTAGAGCATGATGACTGCACCATTCAATACCTCTGCAATTTAATGACATAAAGGTCTATTCACTTTTTAAAAAATCGTAATAGTGTTTTGAGAGCTATAGTAATATATGCACAAAATGTTATAGATTCAGAGAAGAGGAAGTGATAACTGTGAAACTATGTTTTGAACTGTGAGATGTTTGCCTGACAAAGAGAGTAAGAAGAATTTAAGCAAAGAAAATGGCGTTTGCAAGATACGGAGTACTAAAATATGCATCATTTTTGACAATAGTGAAAAGTTGAGTATGACTCTAGCACAGTGTTATAAATAAAGCATGGGCTTTAGTCAAACACAGGCACTGTCACAGCAGGTGTTACTTCTCTAACCCAAGTTTTCTTATCTCTAAAATGGCAGAGTACACGTCAAGCATGCAGCACAGCACCCAATCCTCAGGAGTCTCTTGACTTCAAGTTCTGATTTCAGTTCCACTGCATTTCATAGTTCAGGTCTTTATTACCTCAGTCTATTCTCCATAATGTAACGTAAGTTGTTTTTCCAGAACTGAAATCCAATCATGTTACTCCCATTAAAACAAAGCAGGAAAGAATATCCAATGGAAAAAGTCTCTTCAACAAATGGTGTTGGGAAAATTGGACAGCCACATGCAGAAGAATGAAACTGGACCACTTTCTTACACCATACACAAAAATACATTCAAAATGTATGAAAGACCTAAATGTGAGACAGGAAATCATCAAAATCTTAGAGAACACAGGCAACAACCTCTATGACATCAGCCATAGTGACTTCTTACTAGATATGTCTCTGGAGGCTAGGGAAACAAACAAAAAGAACAATCGGGATTTCATCAAGATGAAAGCCTTCCACACAGTGAAGGAAACAATCAAAACTAAAAGGCAACCTTTGGAATAGAAGAAGATATTTGAAAATGACATACCTGATAAAGGGTTAGTGTTCAAAATCTATAAGGAACTTATTAAACTCAACACCTAAAAAATAAATAATCCAGTTGAGAAATGGGCAGAAGACATGAATAGACACTTTTCCAAAAAATACTTACAGATGGCCAAGAGACACATGAAAATATGCTCAACATCACTGATCATCGGGAAATACAAATCAAAACTACAATGATATCACCTCACTCCTGTCAGAATGGCTAAAATCAACAACACAGGAAACAGATGTTAGCAAGAATGTGGAGAAAGGGGAACCCTCTTACACTTTTGGTGGGAATGCAAGCTGGTGCAGCCACTCTGGAAGACAGTATAGAGGTTCCTCAAAACATTAAAAATAGAACTACCCTACGATCCAGCAATTGTACCACTAGGAATTTACCCAAAGAATACAAAAATACTGATTCGAAGGGACACACGCACCACAATGTTTATATGCTTATAGCAGCATTATCAACAAGAGCCCAACTGTGGAAAGAGCCCAAATGTCCATCGACTTATGAATGGATAAAGAAGTTGTGGTGTGTGTGTGTGATGGAATATTACTCAGCCATCAAAAAGAATGAAATCTTGCCATTTGCAACAACGTGGATGGAGCTGGAGTGTATTATGCTAGGTGAAATAAGTCAGAGAAAGAAAAATAACATATGATTTCACTCATATGTGGAATTTAAGAAATGAAACATATAATAATGGCGGGGGGAAGGCAAACAAATCATAAAACAGACTCTTAACAATAGAGAACAATCTGAGGGTTGCTGGAGGGAAGGTGGATGGAGGGATGGGTTAAATGGTGATGGGTATTAAGGCAGGCCCTTGTGATGAGCACTGGGTGTTATACATAAGTGATGAATCACTAAATTCTATTCCTGAGATTAATATTACACTGTATGTTAACTAACTGGAATTTTTTTTATTTTTAAAATTTTATTATGTTATGCTAATCACCATATATTACATCATTAGTTTTTGATGTAGTGTTCCATGATTCATTGTTTGCGTATAACACCCAGTGCTCCATTCAGTATGTGCCCTCTTTAATACCCATCACCAGGCTAACCCAACCCCCCACCCCCCTCCCCTCTAGAACCCTTAGTTTGTTTCTCACAGTCTATAGTCTCTCATGGTTCGTCTCCCCCTCCGATTCCCCCCTTCATTTTTCCCTTCCTACTATCTTCTTTTTTTTTAAAAAACATATAATGTATTATTTGTTTCAGAGGTACAGGTCTGTGATCCAACAGTCTTACACAATTCACAGCACTCACCATAGCACATACCCTCCCCAATGTCTATCACCCAGCCACCCCATCCCCCCCACCCCCCAATTAACTGGAATTTAAATAAAAACTTGAAATAAACACAAGCTCAGATGGCTTCTCATTGCCTAAAAATTCCTTAGTTTTGGAACCAAGGCTCTTGCAGTTCAAGTCCCTACTTACCTCTCCAGTTGTACTTCATGGTACTTCTTCCTCCCCTTCTCCCCCAAACTATAGTAGTAGTAGTAGTAGTAGTAGTAGTAGAAGTAGTAGTAGTAGTAGTAATGATAATAGCTAAAAGTTACCGAACCAACTACCACATTAAGCAAATCCTGAAAGCTCCATTCATATCATGATCTCTGTAAAGGAAGCCTTCTGGCATTAGGCAGTGAACAATCTGCATGGCCAAACATTTGCAACCCTGGGTTTGCAACCCTGGGTTTGAAGTCAGAATACAAAGCGTTCTCTATATCATCTTAAAGAACTTGGACTTTAAGTAGTAATTAAGGAGTCTTTCAAAGGTTTTCAAGCAGGGAGATAAATAATCCAGCCTGTAACAAGAAGAATGATGCTGACTACGTTCTGGAGAACAGACTGGAAAGCAGATTATAAGCAAGGAGGCTACAAAATGGTTTTCAAGGTTCCTTTACTCTAACAATCTATTATTCTACAGTGAGGAATATTTCAAAGCTTAAAGTCTGAACAACTAGAAGAATGATGAAACCAAAGAAGTCAAAAAAGTATACTTGTTTGGGGGCAACAATAGAGTCAAGTATTAAACACATTAAACACAAAAAAGTAGAGGTGTGCAGCACAGACCCATGGGAAAGAACAGAAGATATCTAATGGAAGAGAATACCCATTTCAATATGAAAATGAGTAAAGCATTCCTCTGTCTCCTTCACTAAAGGACTTGTAAAACACACTATGCACATTCTTAACAGCTATATTTAATAATATCATAATGTTAGACCTCAGATATTTTGCATTCTCATGTACCACAAAAGAGTAATTTGGCATTTTTAAGAAACTGCACAACAACCAACATATGGAAAAAAATTAAGGAACTTTATCTCACATCACATATAAAAATTAGTTCCTGGTAGATTAATAAACTAAATTGGAAAAGGAAACCATAAAATGTTACATCTCAGGGCAGAAAAGGGATTTTTTAAAAAGACATAACTACCCATAAATGAAAATGCCAATAAACTTGATGATATTAAAATTTAAGAACTGCAGTTCCATTTCTGCTTAGGATTATAGAAAGATGAAACAGTGCTCCCACTTGAACAAGGAGAAAAAGGTAAATAATCTATAAAATAATAAATTTTCTTGAACTCATTAGAGAATTATAGTTGCAAGGAGTTGAATTCCAATTCCCTCCTAGGAGAAAATTGTTTCATCTTTGGCAGACCACAGGAGGAAGGAGTAACTACTATTAAAAGAAATAAGAAGAAAACAGCTAAAATTTAAAGGAATTCTAAAGGCCAATGTAGGCTACCAGGATAGTTTAGAATCTCTGGAATCCTCAAACACAAAGGAAAGTCAATACTTAATAGCAAGCTCCTTTCCATGTGCCTGTACCATACTTACAGGAAAGACTGGGGGTAGAGCCGGAAAGAGCCATCATTGGCACATAGGAGAGAAACCCCTTCACACAAAGCAAGACTTAAGCCACTGCGGGGAGGAACAGGAAACTCTCCCATCTCAGAACCCACACAAAAACCTATTGGCTCTCATGGAGGAACTGAGGCAAAAGCCATCAGCTCTAAAGGGGAAAGCAGGTGACTCTCCTTCCAACAATATTAGCTTTGAAAAGTCTTATCACTGGGGAGGGGGTAGGAAACCCTCTCATCACCAGTCAGAGGCAAGGCCTAAAGGAAGGGTAGAAGCAAAAGCTGTAAGGATCATCTCGGGCCCAGGATCATGCACTGATACAAAGCATAGGTTTACTACCACTGGGTGGGGGGAAAAACTCTCTCCTAAATATAAAAAGTCATTCTTTCCCTTACTTTTAATTTCTTTAAAGATAACTAACAACGTAAAGTAAAAATGGTAAAAATTTATTGTGGAGTTATATACAGAAGTAAAATATATGACAACAATAGCACAAAGGAATTGAGGGAGGAAATAGAAGTAATACTGCTATATGGTTCTTATATATGAAGTTGTATATAATTTGAAAGTAGACTTCAAATTAAAAGTGTATTATGTATACCTTAGAGCAAGAGTCAGCAAACCTTTTCTTAAAGGGCCAGATACTAAATATTTCAGGCTCATGGACATTTGGTCTTTATCACAACTACTCAAGTCTGTCATTGTAGTATAAAAACAATCATTGAAAATATGTAAACAAATGGGTATGGCTGTGTTCCAATAAAAGTGTATTTATGAAAACAAGCCATAGGTGTGGATTAAAATAAAATAGGGGGGCGCCTGGGTGGCTCAGTTGGTTAAGCGACTGCCTTCGGCTCAGGTCATGATCCTGGAGTCCCTGGATCGAGTCCCGCATCGGGCTCCCTGCTTGGCAGGGGGTCTGCTTCTCCCTCTGACCCTCTTCCCTCTCGTGCTCTCTGTCTCTCATTCTCTCTCTCTCAAATAAATAAATAAAATCTTAAAATAAAATAAAATAAAATAGGGGTGCCTGGCTGGCTCAGTCAGTGGAACATGCAACTCTTGATCTTGGGGTTGTGAGTTCGAGCTCCACATTGGGTGTAGGATTACTTAAAAATTAAAAAAAAAAAATTAAAAAAGTATAAATATAGGTATTTGCTGACCTCTTCCCTATAGCAACCACTAACAATTTTCTAAAATGAGAAATAGTGGGCCAATAGTGGAGATAAAAGTGAATCATAAGGGCGCCTGGGTGGCTCAGTTGGTTAAGCGACTGCCTTCGGCTCAGGTCATGATCCTGGAGTCCCGGGATCGAGTCCCGCATCGGGCTCCCTGCTCGGCAGGGAGCCTGCTTCTCCCTCTGACCCTCCCCCCTCTCATGTGCTCTCTGTCTCTCTCATTCTCTCTGTCTCAAATAAAATAAATAAAATCTTTAAAAAAAAAAGTGAATCATAAAAAACTTCTCAATCTAGAAAAAGTCAAGAAAATGGAAAAACTAGGAAGATAGAAGACATGAGACAAATAGAAAACAAATAGCAAGATGGTAGATTTAAAACCAACCACATCAATAATTATATTGAATGTAAGTGGTCTAAATAAATACCCCTAGTAAAAGGCACAGATTGTCAAACTGGACTAAAAAGTAAGATCTAAATATTTGCTGTCTACAAGAAACCCACTTTGGATATTCAGTAATAGATAAAAGAATGGAGAAAGATACACCATGCAAACACTAATAAAGAGAAAGCTTGAGTGACTATATTAATATCAGACTAAATAAACTTTAAAATAAAGACTATTACCAGAAATAAAGAGAAACATTACATAATCACATTGGGGTCAATTCATCAAGACATGATAATCCTAAATGTGCATGCATTTAATAACAGCTTCAAAATACATAAGCAAAACTGATAAAGAGTTGAAGATGTCAACACAATCCTTGCAACACTTAGAGCATGTTGACAAAATTTAAGAATTCCTTTCATCAAAAGAATCATAAAGATAATAAAAAGACAAGCCATGAACTAAAATCTAGAGTGAATTAAATATACAAACAGACACACACACACACACACAGACATACACACACACACATATCGTGGAAAAAATATATATGTATATTAAATGAATCAACATTTAAAAGAAAGAAAAATGAGCAAAACATTTGAGTGAAGGCAAATCCAAATGGCCATTAACATATGAAAACATGTTCAACCAAAGAAAACCATTAGAAAAGAAAAATATTTGTCATTAAAAATTCAGTGTAAGGATTTAACAGGAGATAAGACACAACTAAAGAGAGAATCAGTAAAATAGATTTGGAAGAAAAATCTGCAGAAATTATCCAAAATGTACAGCAGAGAAACAGGAGACAGAAAATATCTGATAGAATGGCAAGTTATGGTTCAATAGAACTTTCAGATGTTGCTGCTGGGTACAACCACCTTGGAAAACATGTGGACATTATTTAGTAAAGCTGAATATGTACAAACAATGCCAGTGCTAGGTATACTCTCTTGATATCCTTATGCACATGTACATTTAAGAGTCATGTACAATAATGTACATAAAAGCATATTTGTAATTCCCGCAAACTGGCAACAAACTAAATGTCCATCATCAGAATAAGTCAATTATGGTATAGTCATATAATGGAATATTATACAACAATGAAAAAATGAAATGGTATTTTATGTGAAACATGATTGAATCTTGCAATGTTGAACAAAAGAAGTCAAAAATAAAATCGTTCAATCTTATTCCATCTTAATGCAATTCAAAACATACAAAACTAAACTACTGTTAAGGAATACATATTTAGGTTGTAAAACTATAAAGAAAACAATTATCTCAAAAAAATCAAAGTAGTAGTTATCTCTAGGAAGAAAGAGGATGTGACCAGAGGAAGACACACAATGTTGAAAAGTTCTTATAAGAAAAAGAATAACAACAAAAAACACAGCCTTAGAAACAGTCATTAAACTTCTAATAAAAAAAAAATAACAGGACAAATGCACAAAGCACTTAGAAAAATGTTGCTTGCAGCAGTATTCATAATAGCAAAAACACTGATACAGTGTTGGGTACATAAGTTATACCACAAGGACTTCTATAATGATGTAGATCTATATTTATTGATATGAAATATCTACAATATATTCTAAAATACAAGAAGAGGCTCTAAGAGGGTTTGTATCTTCATTTTTAAAAGTTAAAAATATTTATTACATACAAGAACTGAAAAAAATAACTAAAAGAATATAAACCAGAATACTAACAGAAGCCATCTCTGGATGGTAGAATTATTTTTAATCTTAATTTTTTTCTTCATAGTTATTGGTGTTTCTAGAACTTTTTTAAAATGAGCATATGCTGGCCAGCATACTTTTTTTGGAGTAAAGCACCAAGAAATTAATACAATTTAAAAACTACACTTGTATAAAATTCAAGGGTTAAATACTCCCACCAAAGATTTTTTTGGGTTTTGTGCAAATATCTGGCCAGTAGCCCAGGATGTGAAATATGACACTAGTCACAGCTTTATGTAGGCAACTGCCCACTTCATCAGCCACTTGACCTTGTACTTTTCAGGAATGCTGGGATTCTACTCTGAATTTTTTCCCCCAGGTATTTTTCCCCTTTAACCTTTAAGTAATACCATGACTGGAAAACAATATTTAACACTGTAGCAGAGACAAGCCTAAATCAAGGAGGTAAAGATTCTCACTGAACATCTCACTGGCATCAAAAAAAATAGGTGGATCTCATCCACATGTCTCATCAGAAATAATAAAACATGTCAGAAGGGTAAATACTAAAGAAGGTGCTAAGTTTGAACTATCATTGGATATAGCACAAACTTAGAATGTAAGAATGGCTATAATTGATGATGGAGAAAAATGCAACTGGTTAAGAACATGTATATTTTGCAGCTGTAATGGATGTTGTCATTAATTGGAGGGGTTCATTTATAAATGTTTAGTATATTTGCTTTTCCATCACGAACAGTTTATTTCCTTATGCAATATTTTTTCAGTAAGTTCTTATAGTATAGTTCCAGCTTTATTTATATGTTTAATTTTATCTACCATTTTTTAAGAACTGAACTATCAGTACATTGATGAATGTAATCATATAAAAATTTCTGATTCTTTGAAATACAAATGTCTCCCAGCATTAAAGTTGATTTGCTTTGGTTTGATACAGTTATTGTGGCTAAGATCCTTCTCACTTATAGTAATAACACCAAGGTTTTATGCAGCGATCACTTCCTTTCTCCTTTAGCCTTAACTTTATCTGAAACTATTATAAAAGAAGGTAGTAGAGTTTATTTAAGTGTGATAAGTATTTTGATTTGGCTTTTAACATGTAAATTTTTTTTCTCTCACTTGGTGAAACTATTTTTAAAAATCCCCAAATGGAATTGTAGCTTTCCTTTTATACTGCCACATTTGTGTAAGGCTAGATTTGCCCAGAATTTGCTCACAGACCTGACTACTAAAACGTACTATAATAACCTCTTTGTTTTTCCCATTCCAGTTGAAATCACCTTCTTCCTGATTTTTGTTAAGAAGCTCTTTCAAAGTGTTTACTAAAAAACTGGGATCTGTTCCAGGTTCTTCGTTCAACAAAGTTACACTAAGTGGTCTGTGGATTATTCCATCAGCCTCAGCAACACCATTATTAGTCTGCCGCCCATCTAAAGAAACAGTTGATGCTGAATAAATATTTCCTAAATGATCCATTATAGGAAGCAAATATAATTCTGGTTGAAGAGCCTAAAACATACAGGAAATTAAAAAAAAATTAGTTTGTAATTTAAAAAAACAGTAAGTTAAAAAAATTAACATAAGTTTAAAATGTCACATTACATACATATGGAGGAGCAAATGATTTGAGTTTCAGTTCTGATTCTTGCTTTACCTTCACCTAGAAATAGATGACAAAAAAAAATATAAAGCTTTGTAAGTTTTCAATTATTTTTATTCCTTTTTTTTGCAGAAGGCACATACCTGTGACATAAAAATCAAATCTAAAAGCTGATAACTAAGGCTAGAGTCTAGAAAATGTAGAACATAATCCTATTTCTATTCACTATACAAAACATAAAAGAAATTCTATGTCATTTAGTAGTAATAATTATGGCTATCACTTGTATGGACTCACTATATGCCAAGCACTATTTTAAGTGCTTTACATATACTAGCTCAGTTAATCTTCACAATTCCATGTGATAGGCACACATATTATATATAGTTCACAGACAATAAGATTGAGGAAAGAGAAGTTAAATAACTTGCCCGTGATTTTATAACTAGGAATTTTCCAAATTGGGATGCAAAACCAGATAATCTGGCTCCAGAGTCCAACGTTGTGTACTTTATTTTCTAAATATACAACCCACAGAGTTCATTTGTTATTCATCCATCCATCCATCCATTCATTCAACAAATACTAGGGCATACTATGGGTCAGGCAGACCCACACTATGGGTCAGAACTATGGGTTCTATATGGTGGGAGATACAATGGTAAACAGGGCAAAGTCCTTGCTCTCATGTAGCTTATATTCTACTTAAGAGAATGGATGTTAAATAAACGTGATTTAGGATAGTGATATGTGATTTATGAAAATAAAAAACTGATGTAATAGAGAGCAACTTAAGAGAAAGAATATCTAAAAACTAGGTGGTCAGAGAAGGCCCTTTTGAAAAGATAATACTTGAGCCTGAGACCTGAATTATGAAAAGAAAAAGCAAGTTATTTGAAAATCATGGGGAAGTAATTTCCAGGCAAGTGCAAAGATCATAAATCAGAAAGGAGTTTGTTGTATTTCAGGACCAAGGATTTTTGTGTTTGAAATGGAGAACCAAGAAGAAAAATAGCAGCAGATTTTATCTGCTATTCCTTAGGCCCTCCGTATCTCTGGCCTAACCACTGCAAAAGTCTCCTAAAATCTCCTAGTTACAATCCCTGCCTCTAGTCTCTGAAGGCTCCAATCATGTCATCTTTTGCTCAAAAACTCCAATGCTTCAGAAACAAACAAAACTCATTAATCTGGCATTCAAGACCTTCAACAAATCACTTTACAACTTGTTCTCTACTATTACGTTTTACACCATGTTCCAATAAAAAAGGAAACATTTACTTTCTTAGTTGCCTGTTTTTCCACTTCTGTGCTCGTTCTATTTTCTCTGCTCAGAAAGCTTTTCCTACCCAACATTTTTGCAAGATCAGATATTTATCTTTCTTTTTTTTTTTAAAGACTTTATTTATTTGAGAAAGAGTGAGAGAGCAAGAGAGAGCGCGCGAATGAGAAGCAGAGGGAGAAGTAGGCTCTCTGCTGAGCAGGGAGCCCTGAGCCAGGAGCCGGATGCGGGGCTCTATCCCGGGACTCTGGGATCATGACCTGAGCCAAAGGCAGATGCTTAACTGACTGAGCCACCCAGGCGCCCCCAAATATTTATCTTTCAAGATCCAAACTGAAAGTTCTCTATCTCCCCTCTTCTCCTGCTGGAAGAAGTCCCTTTTTCTTCTGAATATACAAAATACGCTATTTTAATTATTTATGTATTCTCTCTTCACCACGACAGTGAATACTCTTTACGGGCAGGATCCATATCCAGTTCTTTTTTCTCATTTTGCTTATAGAAAAACATCAATAAATATTAGGACTTCAGAAGTTGATTTAAATTATCTTTATTAAGTTCTCTTCCAACATAGGATTCTGTGATTGATATTTTGTATTTTAGGTATTATGAAAAAGAACAAAAAGTCAGGAGAATTGTTCTTTTTCTTCCTTGTTTGAGAAAAACTTAAAGATGAGTAAATTGATATTTTACCATCCTGAATAGAATTCAAATGACAAAAACTTCATATTTAGCTGCTGATCCTGAGAATTCCACATAGCAAATTCCTTTACTTTGGGAATGCTTTTTTTCCCCATTATCATTCATTATTTAATTTGTCCAATAAACATTTAAATGCCTCTAAGTGCTAAACACCTTGTTAGGCACTGTATAAATACAATTGTGAATAAAATAAAGTCCCAGCTCACAGGGAGTTATATGAAAATTTCTTTGATAATCAAATATAGGCTAATGGCAGAGTCAGATGTTAAATAAACAATCACATAAATACATACTAATGACATAATATGTTAATTAGAGTGAAATAGAGATATACTGTATTTTTGTTTAATATAGAAAATCTTCATTAAAGAAATAAACCTTATGTAGTTAAACCAGAAACTTTGAGATCTGATAGCTTGCTGGATTAAGAATTTCAGCTAGGAAAATTCTACTTAGAAAATCCTGCCATTAAATCACAGAAACTATAAACAGGAGTGTTCAACAGATAATAGCTGAAACAAACAAACAAAAAATTGTTGGAGTCCTATCATTTCACATCAAATGAGGCTAGCTGTGGCCCGAACAATGAGGACCCATTTTTGTCCAGAACAGAAGTACTTATTTAAATGTTTTAGGGGGCGCCTGGGTGGCTCAGTCAGTTGAGCGGCTGACTCATGATGTGGATTCAGGGTTGTGAGATTGAGCCTATGTCAGGCTCGCATTGAATGTGAAGACTGCTTAAGATTCTCTCTCTCCCTTTGCCCCACGCCCCACACCCACCCCCCCAGCTCATGCACACACATGCGCGTCCTTTCTCTCTCAAAAAAAAGTTTGTAAACACTCATTTAAATTTAAAAATATATATTACCTACATAATCACATTTTAACTTTGTCTTTTCTTCCCAAGGAATTGCACACCCCAAAATATCCCCATCATTTTAGTGCCCAATAATATGCCAATAAGACCCATTTCTTTCTTGATGATCTATGTATTTAGTGATATTTTGTTATGATTGATAATACTTATCCCATTTATAGAAGCTCTGCTGACAAGAAGCTGAGTTGATAAGCATTTAAAAAACATAATTTGTTAAGTTATGCTTTTTTTTTTAATCAAAAGAAAAAAAATAAGAAAACTTACCACAGCTAGATTATTTCCAATGCATTTCAGAAATAAAAATTTTTCTGCAACAGCATCTTCACCAAGGAACTCACCAAGTCGCTCTCTCAGCGCTTGTAAAGTAAGGTGAGGAGATACTCTGAAATATCATGACATTGCCTTATAATGTAAAATGAAATAGGTTTCAGCTATACTACAAATTCTGTAACATTAGTCAGCTATCTCAAACATAAATACTAATTTAATGTATCATATATAGATCAATATATTGTGTTTTTACATTGTGTGGCACTTTGTAAAACTTTAGGAAATTTTTAAAAAATGATTATGCAAATAAATACTGTTTATAAAAGTCCTTTCTGTACTGAAAAGGAAAATGCTTGTCTACTTTCCTCATCATCAACACAGAAGGATACTCTGAACTGTATTATTAAAAAAAAAAACTTTGCTATGGAATTTATAAACTTTTATACATATATTAAAGAATGATTTAGCCACAGATATTTATTTTGGAAGTTTGACAGGATTAGCTAGTGCTTAAAAATTTCTTTGATAATCAAGTATTGTCAGACTCCACATCTTTGCTCATTAGGAATACTTCACTCTTCAACATCTAAAATTTAAAGCCATCATTTATGCTACTGTTTTGAGTTTTTGTTTTTCTAGGATCTTATGGGAAACATTATGTAATTAATTCATTCAACCAAAAAATATTTATTGAGCCCCCACTATGTGTCAGGCATTGTTCTAAGGATGGGAATATGGCAATCAACAAAAGAGACAAAAATCTCTGCTCTTATAGACTTTATAAATCTAATGGTGGGAAAGAAAAATAGACAAACTGAAAAAACATATAATTCGTAAGACACTGCTAAGTATTATAAAGAAAAATAAAGCAGGGAAGGGAGGGTAGCTACAATTTTAAATATAGTGATCAGAGAAGATCTAAACAAAAAAGTAATATTGAAGTAAAGAGCTAAAGAAGAGATAGGATATCTAATGGCAGAAAGAGCATTCTAGACTAAGAGAACAGCAAGTACAAGGGTCCTGAGGTAGGTCCATGTCTGATGTGTTCCAGAACAAAAACAAGGCTAGTATGCTTGAAGTGATGGGGAAGATAAGGAATAATGTCATGTGTGCTTCATATATGTATATACATTTACATATTACATACATGTAAGTGTATGTACACATATAATCTGTTTCTATTTTGAAACAGTTCAGTGAAAAAAGTCATTGTGGATATACTGATTTAATCACTATCCACAGCTCTTCAACAGGTTTCTAAATACAGATAATTTCTCTTTTATTTCTCTTTGTGTGTAATGATAGTAATACACCAGTTATACCCTTTTCTCTGGGTGTCAGTGACACCTGGCTAAGTGACATCTGTTTCTACAGTATTTATTAACTGTTACATAGCATTATTTATTGATAGTATTAAGTTAGAAACTGGATCCATCACATGGACCAGAGTTTTTCACTTACAACTTAAATTTCCAAAAAACATTTTTCTCTGCAGAAAAAAAAATTGCTTTTCAGGCACATTATAACATGACCACAAAATACTTGCCTTATAAATCCAGCTGAAATGAATTTGTTAACAACTTCTATTGAAATGATATTTAGCTTATAGTTCCACGATCCTTCAGGGACATAGAAAACATGAAGTTCCACCAACTGAATAAATTGAGAAGAATGTCAGTTAAAATATTTTTAAAGTGAAAAAAATAACTGATGTCCTCTAGAATTTTAAGCTTAATAAACATAATTGAAATAAACATGGAATACATGTATCCTTTCTGAACAAACACAGAAAACAAAATGAAGAGCCAAAATTTTGGTTAGTTGGCTACTTGGCACTTGGAGCACATCTTCTCCTTAAAAACAATGTCATAGATGTGGTCCTAGGGTACCCTAACATCTCTGAATACAGTGTTCTTTCTGTGGCTTGAAGTAAGAGTACGAGACCACCAAGATCAGTTTTCTGGTTACCAACCTTTTCCTTTCCCCTGATCCCTACCTACTCAGTTCCGTTGGGGTGATCTTGTGGAATCCTTACACTTTACATATTGTCTCCCTAACATAGTTGTGATAATTGCTAGTTCTTAGCAACTGCAAAGTGTGAATACTGTGGTTTGGGAAACATTTTTGTTTCCCAGGATTCTAGGAAGAACCTATTCCTGATGGTGATAGGGAAGGAAATGGTTGTTCTTACATAGGTCATGTCTGTCAGCTTAGCTTGCCTGTCCTTATAAATACCACTTTCTTTTCTATTAGTGTTTTGTTAAACCTCAATTAGAATCCTTCTATTTAGAAGAATATTTAGATTATGACAACAGAAACAGAACAATTATAGCAAATATTCCTATCCTTTAGTCTAATGATGTTATTCATTGCATATTAAAATTTAAATGATTATGCTCTACAATACTAAATATCTGAGAAAAACTTTAAAAAGTTGAATATGACCTATCATTAAAAATAGAAATTTTTACAGGAGATAAAATTCATTTTTGAACTGAATGTTTTGCTCAAGTTGTTTTTATAGACCAAGTATTTCTATGTATTTGATACATGTATAGATCTGATGTGAAGTTTGCCATATGCTATACTTTGAACACCAGAGCATTTAAAAGATAATTCCCTAGCTATATTATACTATTCTTAGCTAACACTACACTATACTATTAATATTAGAATATTTAATAGTTACACAATTATATATTTGCAAAACCTTCAGAAGACTTAAGTAAATATGACCTTATCCTTTATATAGATGCATTAATAACTTACAGGAAAAAAATATTTATTGAATTAAACATTTTACTCTGTTCTTATAAACCAAATAAATTCTGTCAATATTTTTATAATAATTCATGAACTATAAAAGTGTTTGTACAGATTTAATTCCATAATTAAATGAGTAGGCAATACAGAGAAAATATAGTTAATAAAACATTTGTATAAAATAATTTATAGTGAATTTGTATTTATTCATTACCTCAGCAAATATTTACTGAATGTCTACCATGTGCCAGCACTGGTCTAGGCAACAGGAATATGCAGTCAATAAGACAGAGATCCTTGCCTGCATATAGTTTTACATTCTAATGAGGTATCAGGATAGGAAGAAGGGTGAGGCAAGTGAGGCACTCACCTCAGCTACAAAATTTAAGGCTGTACGAAAACCTCAGTAATCAAGATAAATAACATTAAAAAAAACACTACTCAATGCAAAAAATTTCATGATAAACAAAATATCAAAAATTTAAATAAAGACAGAATTTAGTACTACTATTAGAGCCTTGAGGAAAAAGGAAAAATAAGAACTTCAATACATGTTTCTTAAAAAAAAAAATACATTTCCTAATGGTCAACTTTTTCCAGAATAACCAAGTAGTTGAAAAAAATACTGAAAATTTCAAAAGTATATATTAAAATTCACATTATTTTAAGGTCAAATATTCTATTTATAACAAAACATGAATTTATTATAATTTTACCTTCCTGGCTCTCATGGAAGCAAGCTCATCAGTAATATTTTCATCAAAACTATTAACCATTTAAAAATATTCTAAAAGGTATATTTAGGGCACATATTTTGCCTTTTGCCTTTTGCCTCAGGTTCCAAAATGGCTAGGCATAGCACTATCAGATTCTATTTCTATTTAAAATGTTGCTTTTATGGATCTTTTGCATCAGTTTTCCATTAAAAAAAAATCTTGTATTGATTATTTATCTTAATTATGGAGGTTTTTTGTGTGTGTGCCCCTTAAATATTGCACCCAAGGCAAGTGACTCATTTGCCTCAGACTAGTCCCAGGCCTGTGAGGGACACAGACAATAACCACTAAATATAAAACACTTCTAAGTTATATAGTACATGAGAAAGGGCTAAGTACTGGGGAAAAGGATAAGAAGAGCAGGGTAAGGAAAATTGGAAAGATAAAAGGGGAAGTAGGTTTCAGTTTTAAATAGTCTGGGGTAGGTCTTATAGAAAAGGTGAGATTGAAGTAAAGATTGCAGGGGAAGAAACAATTAGCCAAGTCATGATGCAGAGGGAAAGAGTTCCAAGAAGAGCTAAAGCAAAGGTCTTTTTTTTTTTTTTTAAGATTTTATTTATTTGATAGAGAGTGGAGTCGGGGGCAGAGGGAGAAGCAGACTCCCCGCAGAGCAGGGAGCTAGATCCCAGGGTCCTGGACTGAAGGCAGACACTTAACTGCTTAACCAACTGAGCCATCCAGGCACCCCTAAAATAAAGTCTTAAGGTGAGAGTGTGCTAGTACGACTGAAGCAGGGAACAGTAAGAGATAAAGTAAGAAAAATGAGGAAGACAAGGAACAAAATAAATTGGGTTTTCCAGGCCATTGTAAGATCTTTCATTTCAGAAAATGGGAAGCCAATACAGGGTTTTAATAGAAGGACAACATCTGACATTCATTTTATAGTTTTATTTTAATAAGAAAAATTCTAAACATACATACAAATAAAAGGAATAATACTATGAATACCCAAATACCTACTATGTAGATTCAAAAGTTAACATCATGCCACATTTACTTTCTCTCACCCTCTCTCTCTCTTTTTTAAAGACAGACTGCCATGTGCAGTGCTTTATTTGGATGTGTCTTGAGTCTTAGAAGTTTGACTACCCTACCTTCTCCTACAAATGGACCTTGAGAGCTTGTTTGGAGGTTCTAGCAGGGGAGCACAGCTGCTCGTATATCCTTGACTGAAGAATGGTGCTCCTTTATGGGGGAAGGTCCTCCTCTTCAACCCAGCATGCAGCTTTGGGAGGGATGCACATGGAGCTGTGAGGGAGGAAGAGGACACACACCTAGCCAGCCAGATCAGCCCGGTCAATCTTGGCGATCAATGGGCTGACAAATGTTGCAGATTGTCCTCACATCCTCTATCCCTTTCTTGATAAACCATTCAAAGTAAATTAGACATTGTGAAAATATACTCCTAAGTACTTTGGCAACCATCTTCTAAAAATAAGGATTTCTCCAACATAATCACAGTACCATTTTCATATTTAAGAAAATTAATAATCCCTTAATGTAAAATAATATCCATTCCATATTCAGATTTCCTCAATGTTTTTTCAATCTACAATACAATCAAGGATAACACTTTGCATTTGGTTTGTCACATCCTTAAAAATCTTAATCCACAAATTCTTCCAGACCTGTTTTCTTTTTCCCCTTCTTCATGGCATTAACTTTTTGAAGAGACTAGGCCAGTTGTTTTAAAGAATGTTTTACATTCTGAATTTACCTTATTAACTCAAGATGTCATTTAACTTAATTCTCCAATCCCTTTTTTAAAAAACATAGCATAGTACAGTTTCTTTAAGATTTTTTAAATCATGAAGTGTATTCTTCAATCCCCATCCCTATTTCCTCATTCCCCCAATCCCCTTCACCTCTGATAGCATCAGTTTGTTTTCTACAGTTAAGAGTTTGTTTCTTGGTTTGTCTCTCTCCCCTTTTCTTTGCTCATTTGTTTCTTAAATTCCACATATGAGTAGGATCACATACTATTTGTCTTTCTCTGACTTATTTCACTAAGCATTATACTCTCTAGCTCTATCCATGTTGTTGCAAATGGCAAGATTTCATTCTTTTTTATGGTTGAATAATATTCCATTGTATATATATACCACTTCTTCTTTATCCAGTCACCTACAAATGGACACTTCAGCTGCTTACATAGTTTAGCTTCTATAAGTAATGCTGTAATAAGCATAGGGGTGCATGTACTCTTTTGAATTAATGTTTTTATATTCTTTGGGTAAATAGTAGTGTGATTACTGGATTGAAGGGTAATTCTATTTTTAATTTTTTGAGGAATCTCCATATTGTTTCCATGGTACTGTTTGAGGTACCACCAACTGCAAGAAGATTCCTTTTTCTCCATATCCTTTCCAACACTGGTTTCTTGTATTTTTTATTTACTTTAGCCATACTGACAGGTATGAGGTGATATCTCATTGTAGTTTTGATGTGCATTTTCTTGATGATGAGTGATGTTGAGCATCTTTTCATGTGTCTGTTGGCCATCTGAATGTCTTTGGAGAAATGTCTGTTCATGTCTTCTGCCCATTTTTTATTGTTTGTTTTTTGGGTATTGAGTTGTATTAGTTTGTTACATACTTTGGAACACTAACCCTTTACTGGATGTTATCTGCAATATCTTCTCCCATTCCATAGGTTGCCTTTTAGTTTTGTTGATTGTTTCCTTCACAGTGCAGAAGCCTTTTATTTTGATGTAGTCCCAATAGTTTACTTTTGCTTTTATTTCCCTTGCCTCAGGAGACATATCTAGAAAAATGTTGCTATGACCGAGGTCAGAGAAATTACTCTCTTCCAGGATTTTTATGGTTTCAGGTTTTGCATTTAGGTCTTTAATCCATTTTGAGTTTATTTCTTTGTATGGTGAAAGAAAGTGGTCTAGTTTCATTCTTTTGCATGTGGCTGCCCAGTTTTCCCAACACCATTTGTTGAAGAAAATTTTTCCCATTGTATATTCATTCCTTCTTTGTCGAAGATTAATTGACCATATAATTATGGGTTTATTTCTGGGTTTTCTGTACTATTCATCTATGTGTGTATTTTTATGTCAGTACCATACTGTTTTAATTGCTACTGCTTTGTAATATGACTTGAAATCTGGAATTGTGATTCCTCTAGTTTTGTTTTTCAAGATTGCTTTGGCTATTCGAGGTCTTTTGTGGTTCCATACAAATTTTAGGTTTGTTTGTTCTAGTTCTGTGAAAAATGCTATTGGTATTTTGATGGGGATTGCATTAAATCTGTAGATTGCTTTGGGTATTATAAACATTTTAACAATATTTGTTCTTCTAACCCATGAGTATGGAATGGCTTTGCACGGTCTTGAATTTCTTTCATCAGTGTTTTATGGTTTTCAGAGTAGAGGTCTTTCACCTCTTTGGTTAAGTTTATTTCTAGATATTTTATTGTTTTTGGTGCGATGGTAGATGGGATTATTTTCTTAACTGCACTTTCTGCTGCTTCATTATTAGTGTATAGGAATGCAACAGATTTCTATACATTGATTTTTTATCCTGTGACTTTACTGAATTCATTTATGAGTTTTAGTTTCTTGGTGGAGTCTTTAGGGTTTTCTATATATAGTATGTCATTCACAAATAGTGAAAATTTTACTTCTTCCTTCCTTCTACCAATTTGGATGCCTTTTATTTATGTTGTCTAATTGATATGGCTAGGACTTCTGGTACTATGATGAATAAAAGTGGTAAGAGTGGACATCCTTATCTTATTCCTGACCCTGGGAGAAAAGCTGTCAGGTTTTCAGCACTGAGTATGATGTTGGTTGTGAGTTATTCATATAAGGCCTTTATTATGTTGAGGTACGTTCCCTCTAGATTTACCTTGCAGAGTTTTTAATCATGAATGGGTGTTGTACATTGTCAAATGCTTTTTCTGCGTCTATTGAAATGACATGGTTATCCTTTCTCTTATTGATATTACATACATGTTTATGGTTTTATGAATACTGAATTACCTGTGCATACCAGGAATAAGTCCCACTTGATTGTGGTGTATGATTTTTTTTAATGTATTGTTGGATTTGGTTTGCTAATATTTTGTTGAGGATTTTTGTATCTATATTCACGAGAGATACTGGTCTGTAGTTCTTTTTTTTTTATGGTGTCTTTATCTAGTTTTGGTATCAGGTTGATACTGGCTTCATAAATTGGATTTAGAAGTTTTCTTTCCTCTTGTATTTTTTGGAGTAGTTTAAAAAGAATAGGTATTAACTCTTTAAATGTTTGGTAGAATTTCCTTGTGAAGCCATCTAGTCCCGGACTTTTGTTTTCTGGGAGTTTTTTGATTACTGATTCAATTTCATTGCTGGTAATTGGTCTGGTCAAATTTTCTATTTCTTTCTGCTTTAGCTTTGGTAGGTCATATGTTTCTAGGAATTTATTCATTTCTTTTAAGTTGTCCAATTTGTTGGCATATAGGTTATCATAATATTCTGTTACAATTGTTTGTATTTCTCTGGTGTTATTTCTCCTTTTGCATTAGTGATTTTATTTGGGTCCTTTTTTTTTTTCTTAATGAATCTTGCTAGAGGTTTAGCAATTTTGTTGATCTTTTCAAAGAAATAGCTCCTGTTTTCATTGATCTGCTCTATTGGTTTTTTTTTTTTAAGTTATCATTTATATCTATTTTAATCTTTATTATTTCCTTCCTTTTCCTGGGTTTGGGTTTTGTTTTTCTTTTTCTAGCTCTTTAGGTGTAAAGTTAGGTGTTCTGAGACTTTTCTTGCTTCTTGAGGTAGGCCTGTATTGCTATAAGCTATAAATTTCCCTTAGGACCACTTCTGCTACAGCCCAAAGATTTTGGGCCATTGTGTTTTCATTTTGTTTCCACGTAATTTTTGATTTCTTTTCTTCTGAGATCCCTATAATGCAAATGTTATTATGCCTGATGGAGTCACGGAGTTCCCTAAGACTATTCTCAATTTGCATAATATTCTTTCCTCTCCTTTGCTCAGCTTGGTTACTTTCCATTACTTGTCTTCCAGGTCATTAATTTGTTCCTCTGCTTTATCTAGCCTGGCATTTATTCCATTAAATGTATTTTTAATTTCACTTACTGTGTTCTTCATCTCTGATTTTTTTTTAAATCTCTTTCTTAAGGGTCTCACTGATGTCCTCCACTCTTTTCTCAAGTCCAGGAATATGTTTATGATCACTACTTTAAATTCTCTATCAGGCATATTACTTATATGTTTCACTGTGGTCTTTTGCAGTGGTTTGGTCCTGTTCTTTCATTTGGGAGAGATTTCTCTGTCTCCTCATTTTGTTTGACTTTCTATGTCTGTTTCTCTGTGTTAGGAAAGTCAGCTATTTCTCTTGCTCTTAACAATAACAGTCTTATGAAAAGAGGTCCTACAGTGCCCTGCAGTGCAATGTCCCATTCCCCAGGGCCTGGAGCTTTAGGGAGTGCCTCCTATGTGTGTTGCATGTGCTCTGCTGTTGAGTCTTGGCCTCTTTTTCCTTTAGTCGTCTGCAGAGGCTCTCTTTGCCTATTATGAGTATCATTTTGTCCCCAGCAGGAATGGGGTACATTTTAACAAGGTATGTGGTCATCTGCTTATGAAATAAGACCTGCTCCTGCTACTATCAGAAATGCATGAATCAGCAGATTTGGTGCTGGCAGGGTTTGCACTGGGGGAAGAACCTGCAGCACCAGGTCTGAGGTAAGCGGGACTGGGAAGGGCTGATCTGCCAAAGCACGAGGGGGCAGGGCTTCGTGCAAGCAAGTTAGGTAACAACTGGTTCCTACAAGTGGCCACTGTTTATTCTGGAGGGTGGGGGAGGGAAATGGCACCTACCAGCTCCTTTGTTCCTGGAGGGGTCTCCTGGTGATCCCTGTGTCTCTGGGCTATGCTCTGAGATGAGCAAATCACTTTCCTTCCCCCAGCATTTTTCTAACTGCTGGTTCTACCTTGTATCTGCATGGGCGGTTTTGTGAGCTCTTTATGGGCAGGGCCTCCACTTCCTACTGCCCTCTGTCCTCTCCCAGAGCAGAGCCTGCTGACTTTTAAAATTCCAGGCTTTAAGTCGCACTGGTTGTTAGAACTCAAGAAATTCAGCCCCTCTCATTTACAAAGGCAAATATTACAGGGATTCGTCCTTCCTGTTCGTGGGCTCCCTGGTGTGAAAATCTATTTTCCACCCCTCTCCATACCACTGGTTCTCTGCCCAATGAAGATGGCCATGGTCCATTTTGCTCTCAGACCATGTCTTTGCCCTTCCTAACTCCTTTGGTGTGGCTTCTTCCCTGCCTTTAGTTGAAGAGTCTGTTCTGCTAGTCTTTTTCATGTCATTTTCTGGGTTATTTACACTGATATGAATGTTATCTAGTTGTATCCATGGAATGAGGTGAGCTTAGGGTCCTCCTATTCTGCCATCTTCCCAGCCAACCTCATTTCATAAGCATTTTTGAAATGAAGTTCTCTGTACAGCCTTCAACTGATGCAAATTAGTCACCTAGGGGCATAAAACTTTATAAATGGTGCCCTGTATTTCATATTGCCTCACATTAGGACACATATAATGCTATACTTGCAAATTTTGCTATGTTTAGTAACTATTAAAGGGATAATAGATTAGGTTGTAAGGGATAAGAAAATGGAAACTGTTATGAAGCTATCAGAATAATTAAAATGTGAGATGACGGGGGTGGCTCACTCCAAGGTACTAGCAGTAAAGATGATGGGAAGTGGTCAGATTTTTTATATAATTTGAAGCTAAAGTCAGTACACTGGAAGTGAAGTTTAAGAAAGAAGTAAAACTCCATGGTATTTGGCCTTAGATAGTCAAAGGATGGACCTGCCATCACCTGAGATGCAGAAAGTCAAATAGAACATGTTTAGGGGAGGGGGAAAAGATTCATAATTCAGTTTGAGACATGCTAATTTTAAGATGTTTACTGGCCATCCAGGTGGAGATGTCAAGCAGGCAGTTGAAAATACACATCTGCAGTTTGGGAAAGAGGACTAGATTGGGGATATAAATTTGGGATCCTTAGCATAAAGCTGGTATTTAAAGCTATTATACTGAATGAGATCATCAAAGAATAAGTGCATTTACAGAAGAGAACAAAGAGCTGGCTCCTGAAATTCTCCAATATTAAGAGATCAAAAAGAAGAAAAACCAGGAAAGAAGACTGAAAATGAACAAGTAGAAGGAAAACCAAGATATGTGTATGCTAAAAGTAAAGGAATTATGTCAAAGAAGAGTGATCAACAGTTTCAACTGTTTTGCACAGATAGATCAGAATATGTGGGGTGAGAATTAAACAACATATTTAGTGATGTAGAAGTGAATTTAACAAGAACAATTTTGGTGCAGTAGTAGAATGAAAGTGATTACAGTTGAAGAGAAAATGGAGAAGGTACTGAGGGTATGAAAAGGTATGAAATAGTTGTCTAGAACAGTTGAAAAGTGAGTGAGCAGAAGATAGTCTGTTTGCCTACCAGCAAAAGGTTCTTCTTTAGATTCATGGTCATGACTTTAAAGTGAGAACAGTCTTCATGTTGGTATACTTTTTTTCCAGTCACGTTCCATTGCTGGCATGGGTATAGCATAGGTGAAGAATTCAATAAACCAGGGTTTTTGTTTTGCCAAGCAGTATTATGAAATGAGAGAGAGGCAAAGAGTCAAAAGTATAAGCAAGAGAGTAATCAAGACTGCTCTGTGGTATTTAAGCTATGGAGAGCATCACAAGGTGAATTAAAAAAAAAGTAAATGATAGGATCAATGCACTGGGGGTTCCAGTACAATCAGCTACAGATAAAAGAACTGTAATAAAATAACTATAATCAGACAATAAGATACGCAGTGGAGTTAATATCTAAAACTTTATATAATCCATATTTTTTCTTTCTCAGAACTCTTCAAAAGCAATGTTAAGCAAGTCTTTCTTATATTTTAGTTTAAAAGATTTTCTTACCTCTGAGGAGGAAGGTCGGCTTGGACTGAGGGACATATTCACCAGTGTCTGAATGGGGTAATTATCAGTTGGAATTTTGTGGGGTTTTTTATCTTTCTTCATTTAAGTAGTATTTATAAAGGTTGTAACAGATTTTTGACTTAAGATAGCATTCCACTCATTTCTGGTTTCTGATTCATTCGAAAGTGAAAAGAAAAACACAGAAGGCTTTAAAATAGACCAAAAATGAAAACTTAGGAATGTATACACTCTTATTATAGTAATTTGAAAAGACATATTACTAGTAAGTAGGACTGGGGATGCAATAAAATGAACATATTTCCCATACAACTAAATAGAGTGCTAACTTAAATTATGATAGACTTGTGATCAGGGCATATTTTACTATTCTGAACAATTCATTTTCTCAAGTTTGAAAATTAAAAGTTAAATATATACGGTATTTTACATAAAGTAGAACTATGTTTCTGGAAGTGGAAAGACTAAATTTGTACAAATGGCTATAGAATGATGAAAACCATTTTACCACATGTATTTCTTCCTAGGCTTGGATACCTCAGTAATAAATGTGAACAATTATTCCAGATGAAAATGCTAGTCTTTAAGTATTTTAAGCTATGTTTGTGTATTGTTTCCTGTATTTTTCCTCTGAGGATTTAGAACAGTTTACACGAATACACAGTAAAATTTAAATTATATAAATATATAATAAAAATTAAAAAATAAGGGAGCTGAATTACTGTAAAAAAGAATTATCAAAGTTGGGGGCGCCTGGGTGGCTCAGTTGGTTAAGCGACTGCTTTCGGCTCAGGTCATGATCCTGGAGTCCCGGGATCGAGTCCCGCATCGGGCTCCCTGCTCAGCAGGGAGTCTGCTTCTCCCTCTCCCGCTCCCCCCTCTTGTGCTCTCTCTCTCTCTCACTCTCTCTCTAAAATAAATAAATAAAAATTAAAAAAAAAAAAAAGAATTATCAAAGTTGGACAGTCCTTAAGGATACAAAAAGATACCGATACCAGAACAGAAGGCTTTCCAAGATTCCAAAGCACTGCTCCATCTTGATTTATATTAAATTAGTGAGTAAATAAAAAAAGTGTAAAATTTCTGTAATTTGGTACTGATTACAGCTTTATGAAATCATACCAGAGATCACTAATTGTTCTAATGGTATCAAAATTTAAAAATTATACCTGGGACAAAACATCTTTTATTTTTATTAAAAAAATCAATGAAACTAAGAGTGGGTCTTTGAAAAGATAAACAAAATTAATAAACCGTTAGCCAGATTCATCAAGAAAAAAGGGAGAGGATTTAATATCAGAAATGAAAGAGAAGTAATAAACTTCATCACAGAAATACAAAGGATTATAAAAGACTACTATGAGAAATTATATGCCAACAAATTGGACAACCTAAAATAAATAAATTCATAGAAACATACAATATGCCAAGATTGGATCAAAAAGAAAGAAAAAATCTGAACAGACTGATTACTAGTAACAAAATTCAATCAGTAATCAAAAAGGTCCTAACAAACAAAAGTCAGGGCACCAGGTGGATTCACAGGTGAATTTACCAAACATTTGAAGAAGAGTTAATACCCACTCTTCTCAAACTTTTCCAAAAAAACAGAAGAGGAAGGAAAACTTCCAAATTCATTCTACCAGGCCAGCATTACCCTGATACTAAAACCAGACAAAGACAATACAAAAAAGAGAAAACCACATCTTCTACAAGATGTTAGCAAATGAATTTCAAAATTTAAAAAAATCATTTACCACAATCAAGTAGGATTTATTCTAGGGATACAAGGTGGTGCAATATTCACAAATCAATCAACGTAATAAGTCACACTAATGAGAAAGTATAAAAACCATATGATCATTTCAATAGATGCAGAAAAAGCATTGAGAAAGTACAACATCCATTCATGATAAAAACTCTCAACATGATACGTTTAGAGAGAACAACATCAACATAATAAGGCCACACATGAAAAAGTCACAGCTAACATCACACTCAATGGTGAAAAACAGAGCTTTTCCTCTAAGCTCAATAACAAGACAAGGATGCCCACTTTCACTGCTTTTATTCAACATAGCATTGGAAGTCCAGGCTGCAGCAATCAGCCAAGAAATAAAATGCATCCAAACTGGTAAGGAAGAACTTAAACTGTCCCTATGTATATATGACATGATAATATATATTATATATAAAAAACCTTAAAGACTCCACTAAAAAACTGCTAGAACTGATAAATGAATTCAGTAAAGGTGCAGGATACAGAATTAATAAACAGAAATCTGTTGTGTTTCTATACAATAATAATGAAGTACCAGAAAGAGAAATTAAGAGAACAGTTCCATTCACAATTGCACCAAAAAGAATAAAATACCTAGAAATAAGCTTAATGAGTGGGTGAAAAACCCATATTCTGTAAACTATAAAACACTGATGAAAGACATTAAAGATAACACAAAGGGAAAGATACTGCATGCTCATGGAAGATTTAATATTATTCAAATGTCCATACTACCCACCCAAAGCAATCTACAAATTCAATGTATTCCCTATCAAAACATCAACAGCATTTTTTATAAAACTAAAACAAATAATACAAAATTTGTATGGAACCACAAAAGATCTGAAATCGCCAAAGCAGTCTTCGGAGAAAAGAATAAAGCTGGAGGGATCACAACCCCAGATTTCCAGATATACTGCAAAGCTGTAGTAATCAAAATAATACGGTACTGGCACAAAAAGAGACACATAGATCAATGAAACAGAACAGAGAGCCCAGAAATAAAACAATGATTATATGGTCACTTAATCTACAACAAAGGAGGCAAGAATATACAATGGGGGGAAAGATAGACTCTTCAACAAATGGTGCTGGGAAAATGGGACAGTGACAAAAAAAAAAAAAAAAAGAAAGGAAAAGAAACTGGACCACTGTCTCAACCCATACACAAAAATAAATTCAAAATGGATTAAAGACCTAAATATGAGACCTGAAGAAAACATAGGCAGTAATCTCTCTGACATCAGCCTTAGCAACATTTTCCTAGATATGCCTCCTCAAGGAAGGGAAATAAAAGAAAAAATAAACTATAGGCCTAAATCAAAAAAAGCTTTTGCACAGTGAAGGAAACCACAACAAAATGAAAAGGCAACCTACTGAATGGGAGAAGATTTTGGCATATGATATATCTGGTAAGATGTTAATATGCAAAATACATGAACTTCTTACACAATCTACACCAAAACCACAAATAATCCAACTAAAAAATGGGCAGAGGAACTGAATAGATGCTTTTCCAAAGGCGGCATATAAATGGCAGCAGACACATGAAAAGATGCTCAACATCACTAATCATCAGGGAAATGCAAATCAAAACCACAATGAGATATCACTTTACACATGTCAGAATGATTAGAATCAAAAAGACAAGAAACAAGTGTTGGTGAGGATGTGGAAAAAAAGAATCACCCATGCACTGCTGGTGGTAATGCAAGTTGGTGCAGCCACTGTGGAAAACACTATGCAGGTTCCTCACAAATTAAAAATAGAAACACCATATGATCCAGTAATTCCACTGCTAGGTATTTGCCAAAGAAAGCAAAAACACTGATTCAAAAAGATATATGTACCCCTCTGTTTATTGCAGCATTATTTATAATAACCAAGATATGGAAGCAACCCAAGAGTCCACTGATAGATGAAGATGTGGTATACATACACACAATGGAATATTACTCAGCCACAAAGAACGAGATCTTTGGGGCGCCTGGGTGGCTCAGTCGTTAAGCATCTGCCTACGGATCAGGTTACGATCCCAGGGTCCTGGGATCGAGCCCCACATCGGGCTCCCTGCTCAGCGGGGCACCTGCTTCTCCCTCTCCCACTCCCCCTGCTTGTGTTCCCTCTCTCGCTATCTCTCTCTGTGAAATAAAATCTTAAAAAAAAAAAAAGAATGAGATCTTGCCCTTTGCAACAACATGGATGGAACTAGAGGGTATTATGCTAAGTGAAATAAGTCAGACACAGAAAGACAAATACCATATGATTTCACTTATATGTGGAATCTAAAAAAGAAATGAATCAACAAAAACTAGATGCTTAAATACAAAGAACTGAGGGTTGCCAGAGGACCATAAGGAGATGAGTGAAATAAAGGGGATTAAAAAGTACAAACTTCCAGTGATAAAATAAGTCATGGAAATAAAAAGTACAGCATGAAAAATATAGTCAATAATATTGTGATAACATTGTTTGGTGATAGATGGTGAGTATACTTATTGTGGTGAGCACTGAATAATGTATGAAACTGTTGAATCATTATGTTATACACCTGAAACTAATATAATATTGTATGTTAATTATACTTCAGTAACAAAAAACAATCTGATATTAAAAAATGGGCAGAGGAGGGTTGCCTGGGTGGCTCAGTCAGTTAAGCGTCCAACTCTTGATTTCGATTCAGGTCATGATTTCAGGGTCCTGAGACTGAGCCCCACTAGATGTGAAGTCTGCTTAAGATTCTCCCTCCCTCTGCTCACATTCTCTCTTTCTCAAAATAAATAAATAAAATCTTTAAAAAAAAATGGGCAGAGGACCTGAACAGGAATTTTCCCAAAGACAACGCACAGATGGCCAACAGACATATGAAAAGATGCTCAACATCACTAATCATTAGAGAAATCAAAACAAGGAGATACCACTTCACACCTCTCAGAATGGCTAGTTTCAGAAAGACAAGAAATAACAAGTGTTGGCAAGGATGTGGAGAAAAAGGAATTCTCATGCACTGTTGGTGGGAATATAAACTGGTGCAGCCACTATGGAAAACAGTATGCAGTTTCTTCAAAAATTAAAAATAGAAATACCATAAAAAAATAGAAATGCCTACCATCCAGTAATTCTACTACTTGATATTACCCAAAGAAAACAAAAACACTAATTTGAAAAGATATATGCACCCCTATGTGTTTTTTTTTTTAAGATTTTATTTACTTATTTGAGAGACAGAGAGAGAGAGAATGAGGAGGGGGAGGGGCAGAGGAAGGAGAAGCAGGCTCCCCACTGAGCAGGGAGCCTGACGTGGGGCTCCATCCCAGGACGCTGAGCTCAGGACCTGAGCCAAAGGCAGACTTTTAACAGACCGAGCCACCCAGGTGCCTCCTACGAACCCCTATGTTTATTGCAGCATTATTTACAATAGCCAAGGTATGGAAGCAACCCAAGTGTCCAATAGATGAGTGTATAAAGAATATGTAGAATATTACTGAGTAATGGAATATTACTCAGCCATGAAAAAGAATGAGGTCTTGCCCTTTTCAACATGGATGGACCTAGAGGATATTATGCTAGGTGAAATAAATCAGAATGACAAATACAATGATTTCCCTTATATGAGGAATCTAAAAAACAAATGAACAAACAAAACCAGAAATAGACCCATAATTTTAGAGAACAAACTTATGGTGGCCAGAGGGAGGGAGGTTGAGAGGACAGGCACAATGGGTGAAGGGGAGTGGGAGGTACAAGCTTCCAGTTATGGAATAAGTCTCCCAGATGAAAGGTACAGCACGGAATATAGTCAATGGTACTGTAATAGCATTGTATGGTGACAGATGGCAGCTATACTTGTGGTGAGCAGAGCATAATGAATAGTTGTCAATTAAAAAAAAATTCTGGGAAGCTTTATTATTTCATTATGAAATGAGTAAACAGGGGCACCTGGATGGCTCAGTGGGTTAAGCGCCTGCCTTCCGCTCAGGTCATGATCCCACAGTACTGGGATCGACCCCACATCAGGCTCCTTGCTCATCAGGGAGCCTGATTCTCCCTCTACCTCAGCCTGCCGCTCCCCCTACTTGTGCTCTTTTTCTCTTTGTCAAATAAATGAAATCTTTAGGGAAAAAAACTGAGGAAACAAGAGGCTCGGCGAAGTTAAAGTGGCTTGCCTAGGAATACCAAGGTAAGTGGTAGTGCCAGGATTTATACCTTGGTTTATAACCCTAGTCATTACATCTATCGTATGAACTAAGTAATATACTAAAGCACATTGTACATTTTTTTAAAATGATTTAAACTATTTAGTAAATAAGTTAGGTTTTGTCAATTAGGGCAAATTATATGTGGATTTTCTCACCATACAAAAAATCTGTAACGTCTTAGTGATTAAATTATTCACGTTTATTGAAAACATCAGTGTATTTGTTGATGTACTTGAATCGTTGCATAGGACACACTTGTCCTAAGTGCTGTGCCATAATAAATACGTTTCCATGGGTGAAACACACTTTGCCTGAGTCTATTTTGCTTGATTAGATCCTACTGTTTCTCTCTCCAGAAACTCCTCTGAAGGTCAATTTCAGGCAGCAGGTAATGAGTTACAACTGAAATGTAGAACAAACTCCCGAAACACACAAATGTATTTTGATATAATAAGCGTTAATCCCCCAAATGAAATGGATAACAAGAGATGGGTGTAATCTTCAGCAAGTACCTTGGCTTGTTCACAACCTCTTCGAGAAAACCAAGAGGTAAGAGGCGAAAGAAGCCAAATCCTGAGAAGCACTTTTCACTAGAGAACCAGCACCCCTGCTCCCCGTCGCCCCGCTCCTCCCCGGTCAGTTACAGCAACCTCCGTGTCCTTTTTCGGCCTCAGGAGTCTGATGGCGGGAAGCTGGCTGAGGACTGGCCGCCCGTTGAACAAACTCGAGTCACTTAGAGACACGTCTCTAAGGAGACAGGGTAGGGTGTCAGTGACTCGCGCCCGGTACTTCTGGCTCCTATACACCTCGGCTGGGTCCTTCTCTTCCCTCAACTTCTGCCACCAACGCCGTTCAGGAAAGCTAGAACCTCCTTGTCAGCCTGCCACCACGCCTTTTATAAACTCCCTCAAGCACCTGACTTCCCTCACCAGTCCTCTTCAGGATCCCCCTCGGGTCTTGGCGGCTAATGACAAACTTTTTTTTTTCTTTTTTACCTTTCCAAAGTCGGCCTCTCGGGAGAGGAAGGAGAAGACTGGCGTCCGGTCGCGCTCGCGTCCCGCAGCTACTCAGCCCACAGTCCGCTCCGCCCCTTCTCACTCCCTTCTCCCCCTCCCTCCGCCTCCGCTCCCCGCCGGGGTGAGGAGCTGGAAATGAACGCGGAGGAGGAGCGCGCATGCGTGCCGCGGGTGGAGCCGCTGGGCAAAGAACCGGAAACTTAAGAGACAAAGTTCCGAGCCCCGCCCCCCGCCGCGCTGCCCCACCGTCTGGCCCAGCGGACCCACGAACCGACAGATCCACGCACGGACGAATCTGCCCGCTCTTGAGAGCGCCATGTCTGGTTCCTCCAGCGTCGCCGCTATGAAGAAAGTGGTTCAACAGCTCCGGCTGGAAGCCGGGCTCAACCGCGTGAAGGTGAGCGGGGGCGGGCGGCCGAGGGGGAGGGGAGGGCGGAGGCGGAGGCTGGGATCGGGAGGCCGAGGTGGCTGGCACTGGCTGCACTCGCGTCCGGCTCCCGCTTCCCTTGGGGAGGGCGCGCGCTCGGCGGCGAGGATCCGGGAGCAGCCAACTTTAGCGAAGTAGGGGCGCGGGTCGGCGCTGTGGTTTGGGGGGCCGGTTAGTGCGCCCTTCCGCGGCCAGGGCTTTCCAAGGCGGCTGGTCCCGGGGCTGGACTGCGGCTTTCCGCATTCCGTTCGCCCTTGTCTCTCTCTCCCTCCGCAGTGACTCCGTGGCTGGCTTGGGCAACAGCTGCTCCTCCGCGCGCCGTCCGCACCCTTCCAGTCCTCAGCTTACCAGACTCCACCCTTTCTTTTCACTAGACAGTTTTATCTGAGTTTTAATTCAGAACAGAACCAATTTTCTTTTCATGTCAGAACGTTCCCAAACCCACTCCTTTTAGTACTAGATTCTTACCTCCAGCTCTTCTTATCCACCGAACACATACTTGAAAACGAATTTTTGCAAACGCAAACTTTAGGTCAGAGAAGCATGTTTGTTTTCAAAACGTTCTCTAAGGTTACCACTGGTGCCCTGTACAACCTCGTACAAAGCGTGCATTGCATACCTATTTGGCACAGTTTGCTGGGATATGACCTTGGGAATATCTGCTGGTCTGCTCTTAGTGAACAGGGTGGTCAAGTTTTATTTGTTTTGCCGACTGGTTAACACTGACCTTGGGCGTTTACTTTGGGGGGAAAAAAACCTTTTGTGTATGTTGGTAGGATAACCTGACATTCACATGCTATTCCAAGTTTCTCCTGATTTTTAAAATCCTGAATGGATTGGCTTCTTTCTGGCACAGGTCAGCTTACAAGTGAAACTCTTCTTGTAATTAAAAAAAAAAGAAACAGAAGAATATAAATCATGCACTCCGTTGAAAGAAACAGCCAGTTTCCAAGATGACTTGATTGTGTACTCATCAGGCTAGTCTTTACTTCTCCCTGAAATGTTCTGTGGAGTAAGACAGTCTCCCATTTACCTATTTCCTTAAATAGAAATGTCAGGGACCTAGCTTACTCAGTTGTAGTCACCTCAGGACGGAAGGGAAATTCCCATCAGTTTTGGTGTGGGATTCCCCTCCCTTCCTGGCCTTAAGTGCTGTAGACTCCATTGCTGTTTGGAGTCCATTTCTCTCATATCCAGATACTTACTTCATCCCAGTGGTTTATGGTCACTCTTGGCTGGATTTAACTCTGAAATTTCTTAACCAACCATTACGTTATCATTCAGGTGTGCCTTTACCATAGTTGGAGTGGCTCAGGAAAGAAAAAAATGCGGGGGTATGGGAGGCAAAAGAAAAAAAAAGGTTGAAAGCAATAAGTGTTCAGTAGGGGTACTTAGCCCTTGTCTCAAAAGAAAATGAGATGGAAGTCCTCAGACTAAAGTACTTGAGGGTTTTACCATGAAAACCCCAGCTACTGCAGTAACTCTCCAGAGTGATGCCTGTTCCTATACTTCATTTCTTCAGGAGGCTTCTGGTCAGGAGCCTTAAAGCCACCATAGGTGATTTGGTTTTAGAGTTCTCTATTTCCTGCTAGGGGCTGTAGCAAGGAAGGGAGGGCATCCCACCTTGGGACTTTTAAATGAGCTTTTCTTTAAATCTGTTGTAAAATATGGTTAGTTCGATTTTATTTTGTGTGCCTATTTTATCCATGACTATGCTAGATGCTTTTTTGGGTGTTCTTTTATTTTTAAACTAGCACAAGTTTACTGTTAAACCTTTGAGTACAGTTGATAGAAATGGTCACAAATGCTTGACAAACTCTACCATATGTAGGGCGACCATACGTTGTTTCACCAACCCAGGACAGTTTTGAGAGTTAAAGAGGGCAGTAATAATTATGCCAGGTTTATAGGGTTTCAACCTCCTGGATGGTGATTATTACAATGCTTTAGGGGCTAGCAGCTTGAGTTTTAGAGTCTTTGTCTTAGTTCTCCCCACTGCTTAGAATTCTGATTGGTTTCTCACTGATAGTTACCTGGCTGGTTCTCTTGTCTCTAAGATCTCAAGTTTAAATATCACCTGCCCAGAGACACCTTCCCTTAAGGCACGATCTAACCACTCTTTTTTCCAAAGAGCTCCTTGTCTGTATTTTCCTCTGAACTGTCACCTCTGTAACAAGGACCTGGCTGTTCTTAGGTATTCTCAGTGCCAGAATATATTTGGCACATACTAGTGCTTGAGAAGTTTGTGAAAGGGAATTAGTTAAGTTGGAGCCTGCCTCCCTTTTAGGCAGAAAGTTAATACTTTATCCTTACTGCTAGTTAATGTGAATGAAACCAAGTTTTAAGATTGTGCAAAATGATACCATGCATACCCCCCACTTTAGCTACACCTTCTTTTGGTGGGTAAACAGGGTGGCCATTTTTTGTAGCACTTGGTTATCAGGTATTTACATAATACTTTATACAGTTGCTAAATAAACCTATGGAACTCAATTACTCTGGACTGTTGTATAACCCAAATATACAAATAGATTTCAAGACTTGAGATTCATTTCAGGATCATGTATCCTTTTACCAGGTAAATGTCTGGGATACAGCAGTAATCTGCAGGATTTCTTCTTATAGAGAGTATTTGTGATGCTCTTACCTCCCTTTCACAGGCAAATGCCCAGCCAGACTGGACACCTGCTCTCACCCTCCTTGGGGATAGTTGAAACTGAAAATAAATGATTATTTTTCCCATCTTCCTAAACCTCAAGACTGAGGATATTGTATTCATTTGGTACATCTTTTAGTTATTCATGTTCTACATCTGAACCATTCGGTTCTTTATTTTGGTATTCTACATCACCTTATCAGTATACAAATAGTAGACATTTAAGTGATACTTAATTCGTTAAGTCCTGTTTGAGTGGCATTGTATATGTATATGAAAATTGTTAAAATCACATTTAAGCAAATACACTGCTTTTTAAAGGCAGGCTGCTCAGTGAAGTTATTAAAATAATTTGAAGTTTGCTATCAGCCTTTCAGTCGCATGACACTAAGCAGAAAGCTGTCACTGTTCAGTTTCGTAACCTTAAACAGCAATGGTACATAATACCAAAACAATGAACTGAATGGTTCAGATTTAGAACATAATGTTCATTCACAGTAGCATTTTTCCAATAATATTGCTTTCAAGACAAAGTAATAGTTGGCTAGAATTTTAACGCCTTTTGTATCGAGTGTATGGCTTTTAGTAAAAAATATGTTGAGGCTCTGAAGGTGGAATACCTCTGAAGATTATTTATTAATAAACTAGCAAGATAGGTTTTATTTTGCAGATGTACTGAATCATTTGATGCTTTTAATAAGCAAGCAAAAGAAAACATAAACTAGTCCTCTGTACATGTAGTGTTTTGAGTATGAGCTCAGTATATATATGACTGTTGACCTTCAATTAGTATATATCTTTTGACTTAAGAGAAGTGTTTATAGGGGCACCCGGGTGGCTCAGAATCTTTAAAAAAAAAAAGAGAGAGAAGTATTTATTGCAGGTATTTCAAAGATTTGAGGAAACCTTCATTAAAACATTCTCGCTGTGATTCATCAGTCTTACACAATTCACAGTGCTCACCATAGCACATAAAAAGAAAAAAAAAGATCATAGGAAGGGAAAAATGAAGGGGGGAAATCGGAGGGGGAGACGGACCATGAGAGACTATGGACTCTGAGAAACAAACTGAGGGTCTAGAGGGGAGGAGGGTGGGGGATGGGTTAGCCTGGTAATGGGTATTAAAGAGGGCACGTATTGAATGGAGCACTGGGTGTTATACGCAAACAATGAATCATGGAACACTACCATCAAAAACTAATGATGTATGGTGATTAACATAATAAAATTTAAAAAAACATTCTCGCCTGTTCCCACTACCCTCTCCTTTTGTCTTATACAGGTTTCCCAGGCAGCTGCAGATTTGAAACAATTCTGTCTGCAGAATGCCCAACACGACCCCCTGCTAACTGGTGTATCTTCAAGTACGAATCCCTTCAGACCCCAAAAAGTCTGTTCCTTTTTGTAGTAAAATGAATCTTTGGATGGTAAGTTGCCTTAATATTTAGACAGTTTTAAAAAAATCTGCAGTGTTTATGGGATGACTTTTAAATACTACCAACTCATTTGGATTAATCCTGATGTCTTTTCTCTAATAGAACCCAGCTATAACGCAGCATAGCAAAGAATTGGGAGTTGGGAATGTAAGAGAAAATCAAGAGATCATTGAATAAACTGACATTTGTAGTGGGGAATAACAGGTTTTACTCTTTATTCTTGTAAAGTAAAGATAGAACGAGAGAAATGAAGTGTATGAGTTCATGGTGGCAGGCAGCGGATTTGATTTCAGAAGATTGAGAAACTAAAGAATTTGCTGGTTTAAGACATGTGTCTATATATTAATCTGTACCTTCCAGATCAAATGTCAATGTGTGCAAAAGTATATAATGTTAATCCAAGAGTTGTGACCAAAAAACATGCTGTGGAGAATTTAAAATGTAATCCAAGGGTGCTACACCTTTTATAAATACACGGTACTTTAGTCAGAGGGTTTACTCACCCGTACTGACCTATGAGAAGCAACCTTAAAATAATAGTGTTTTAAAAAAAAAAACTGTGTGGCACACACCCTTTACAAACATTCTAACTCCTCAAAGTTCAGGAAGCTGCTTCCTAAAATACCATGTTACATAGTTGTGCCCTCCCTCATTAAGCTTTGTAGATTTGGTAGTATCCAGGAAGTCAGCATGTTTCCAGTAAATAAAATGGTTAAATTGGTTAAGATTTTGAAACACCAGAAACCACCTGTGAGTAATAGGTTTCCCATGAGGAAGTCATTCTTTTTAACAGCTTAACACGTTCATTTTGAATAGTTAATAGTTCTTTGCCTCTAGCAATATTAATTCTTCATGGCAGTTTTTGGAAATTTCTTATTTTTATGGCTTATTAAAGATTCTTTAACCTCTGTTCCCGTTGTATTCACTTTACAAAGAGGTTTATTTTCATTTGATATAAAATACTGTTAAGAAGCCTGGGTTCTTATCTGGCTGTTAACAGTTTCATTTCACAAGAGTCTACAGATAGGTGTTTAAATGACTTGCTCAAAGTTATAAATATAACTAGGATAAGAACTCAGATTTCAGAGTAAAATAATTGCTACTAATCCTGGCAGTATAATAAAACAAGTTTGTAGGTATGATTTGAAACACCTTGGTCCAGGAAAAGGACATTTGGATGTAAAAGCGTTTCTTCTCAAACGTGAATGTATCTACAAATCACCTTGTTCAGAAGCAAATTCTCAACAGGTCTGAATTCTAGGGCTGAAGCATTTCTTACAGACTTCCAGGTTATATTGATGCTGGTGGTCCTGGGTGGCCCACAGTGAAATGGCCTGGATGCAAAGAATCTACAAGTCAGTCTTAAAAATACATAGTTTTGATAATTTAAATTAAGACAATGTAGATAATTTAGTAGTAGATAAGAGTACAAGGAAAATAGAAATTACCATGATCAGCACACCCAGAAACAATCACTGTTAAAAGATTAGATTTCCTTTTAAGAGGAAGAAATATTTATGGGCAGGTTTACAGACAATGAGGATCACAATATGTACAGTTTTTATTCTGCTTTTAAAAAAACACTTGAATTTTCTTCATTAAAATTCTTTGTAAACGAGATTTTCAATGGTTGTAACTTAAACATTAAATATTGAGGACATCATTAAATATTGAGGTTTCCAAGTTTGAAGCTACACTGAGGCAAATATCTTGGCACTCCTATGTATAGTTTACCTGTTTCCTTAAGATCGATTTCTAAAGTAAAATTATTTAGGGGGGCCTGGGTGGCTCAGTTGGAAGCTTCTGACTCTTGATTTTGGCTCAGGTTATGAGCTCAGGGTTGTGGGAAAGAGCCCCGTGTTGGGTGGAGTCTGCTTGTTCCTCTCTGCTCTCTTCCCCCTGGCTTAAAACTCTCTCTCTCAAATAAAATCTTGGGGCGCCTGGGTGGCTCAGTTGTTAAGCGTCTGCCTTCGGCTCAGGTCATGATCCCAGGGTCCTGGGATCGAGCTCCGCCATCGGGCTCCCTGCTCAGTGGGAAGCCTGTTTCTCCCTCTCCCACTCCCCCTGCTTGTGTTCCCTCTCTCACTGTCTCTCTCTCTCTCTCTGTCAAATAAATAAATAAATAAATAAAATCTTAAAAAAAAAATAAAATCTTTAAAAAAATAAAAGTAAAATTATTCAATAAGGAATGACATTTAAAATTTAATAACACTTGATAACTAGGAGCAAACTTTCTACCTGGACCTTGAGAATGCTTTTTTGTTGAGCTCTTGCTAAACAACCCTCATTTTCTGCCTATCTAGTTTTTTAAATTTGTATTAATTCAGATGTTAATTGAGGTTAGACATTTTGTTTTTTCACCAGATTCTGTTTAAGCTTCTTGAACATTTTTGTTATAGAGTATCAGAAATTTTCAAGTAAGTAGAGAACCATGTATCAAAAAATTTTAAAAAGATATACTTTTTCTATCTTTCCATATAGATAACTTACTGTTTTTTAGGAATAACTACTGTATTATTTTTGAGATTTGTGTTGATCCATGTAAATTGTTTTAACTGCTGTATAGTATTCAACAATATGTATAAATCCTGGTTTATCTATTCCCCTATTGAGTTACATTTAGGCTATTTCTAGTTCTTTGCTGTTAAAACACCACTATAGTCAATATCCGTGTACATGTCTCTTTAAGTGTAGGTTTATCTAGGTAAATAGAAGTGGGATTGCATCTTTTACCGTAGTAGATAAAGCCAAACTGCTCTCATCAGTGCTAACTGCTCATTTTCTAGGGATGTTCAGATTTTTCAGAACTTTAAATAGAGTTTTACATTAACTTTTTTTTATTAGGACATAGAGTATCTTTTGGGGTGATCCTGGCAAGTTAATCTTTAAGTCTGTTGTTTATAAACCAGAAGTGATTTGTACTTCAGAATGGTTGTGAAAATTAAGAGGAAGTTACATTTTATACATCACAGAAATCTCCTGTTTCTCATTTTTTCCCCCTAGAAACCCTGCGATATGTCTGCTTTTTAAAAAAAAACAAAACAAAACAGGCTTAGGTTGGGGCACCTGGGTGGCTCAATCATCCTGATCTCATTGGTCCTGAGATCGAGCCCCAAGTTGGAAGTCTGCTTGGATATTTTCTCCCGTGCCCCCCCCCCCCAGTTGCGCACACACCAGCGCTGGCTGTCTCTCAAATAAATAAATCTTTTTAAAAAATAAAACAGGCTTAATTGAAAGCACTTTATAAGCTTATATGCAAATAAATACCCTTAAAGTAATAGAAGTGTATTACTTTTCAGAAAAAACTATTGTGCTTTGGTACTGTACCCTAATTCACTCTTTCTTTTCCATTTCAGGTTTTCTAAACCACTTTTCATGAACCAGTGAATATTCAAAGGAGAACTAAATTTGAAGCCTGTACAAAAGCTTATTATCCCTATAACACGTGCCATACTATATAAACTTCTACTTTTGTCAGTCTTTAACATCTACCTCTCTGAATTTTCATAAATTTCTATTTCACAAGGGTAATTATTTTATATACACTGGCAGCAGCATACAATAAAATACTTAGTGTAAAAGTTTTTTGGTTAATTACTGGTATTAAATAGACTATGTATTAATTTATTTTGAATACCTAAGATATGTGACAGTTTCCCATTGTCATTAAGAAGGGGTTAAGTTTTAGTGTTTTCTCCTACCAACTCATCTCACATAATTTTATGCCATACATTTATTTGAAAGACTATAGGGAATTAAAGGTAAGTTGCAGACTTCTGTATTCTTTCAGTCAGGAGGAAGCTACTAGTACTAGTTCCTACTCATGAGTTATTTGCAGGATTAACTTTGTTTTAATAATAAATATTTCTAATAAACTCTTGTGTAGGGTTATTACCATTCCACCTAAGAGTTAATTACTTCTTAAAAGATTGCATTCCTAATAAGGACAGTAAAGACTGGACATAGGAATTCCATTAGAAAATGCTAAGAAAAATTTCAGACTTTTAAACATTTCTTGAGTGGAATACTATAGTACAATGTAATGAGGTACAAAGTATCAAGAAAAAAGGAACCAAGGTTTAGCTTCAGTAATTTGCAACTGTTAAGTCCTTGGTAAACCATTTTGCTTTAAAATTTTTACCATTCTGAAAGGCTTAAGGAAATACTAAAACATCCCAGAAACCTGGCCTCCCAATATGTATTCATGCAGGAAACAGAATTAAAGTTATGTGCCAGATCCAAGATTAGGCTGGTAGAAAACCAATGGGTTAGTATCTACCAAGGACTGTATTTTCTCTCCAGGCCACGTGTTCCATGAAAGTACACATGGAAAAGTTAGTTTGAATCTTGATTCCAACTTACAAGTACCTAGAAATAAGAGAACTTTTAGGAAACTTAAACTGTAACTTCTAAATTCACCAAAATGACTTTTATTTGTATTTGCTACATAGACGGTGAATGGTAATTCATGGCACTTGATATTTTGTCCAGACATGAAAAGGTTTATGAAACCAGTAAATGACATTTTGAAAAGGGTCTTCTGTCATAAATCCAAGATTGGCCTGTTTAGCACAATTCAATACTATTCCTTCAGTATTTTATAAATGGAATTTTCTTCTACTTGTATCCATTTCCCGGGGCTGAAAATTAGGAAAAAAAAGTAAAATTTATAGGTAACAATGCTTAAAAAAAAAAAAACCCTTTTGGGTCCATTTCAGAGACTGAATAGTCTAGGTCTAATAAAGGTATTAGAAGTTACTGTTCTAATATGTAGGTGTATAATATACATGTAAAATTCTGAAGTAAAAATACCTAAGTGAACTATTGCTTACTAGAAAAGAGACGGGTTTTAAAATATTGAAGTTTTCATTTCTGATTTAAAATCTACAAACTTTACAAAACCTCTATAGCAAAAGTTTCAAACATACAGCAGAATCGTAACACTGGCTTATAAATGGAGTGCTGGGCCCCACTCCCTAAGATGCTGATTTGGTAGGTCTGTGGGCCAACAATTTGCCTTCCTAACAGATTCCTAGGTGATGCTGCTGGTCCACTTTGAGGACCACTGATCTTTAGGATAATTCAAATGAACCAGGGTTCATCACCAGCGCAAAATACCCTGTTAGAGATTGGTTTTTTCAAGCTTATGGAGGTCAGGAGCATAGCTTGAGATATAAGCACTCAAAGCATAAAGTACATGGTTTCCTCCTCATTCCATTCTTTTAAAATAATCTAAATGGCTTTTGAAATAAGGCACATACCTTATGGACCCATTCATACTCTCCATATTTAGAATCAAAGGCTCCTTTCTGAAGAGATCTTAATTTTAAGGTAAAACGTGGTCCAAGTTCCTGAATTCCCACTTTCTTTTCACTCTTGAATATGTACCTTCAAAGATAAATGAAAGAATTAAGGGAAAACAGTCTGAATGAATCAAATGTAATTTCTTTAACGTGATAGAGTTCAAAAGATAATTTATTTCTCATCTAGAATACTTGTCACAATACATTAGAAAACATGTTTACATTGAAAATATATTTCATGATTTAAGTCAAAGTCTAAGGAGTTAAAGTACCTTCCTCACCTATGAAATCTGAAGAAGATATAGTCCCGTTGATTGTGGAATGTGGCAACTTGCCTCCCAATAAACTGAGGATTATGGGGAAAGAGAGATGCAAACATACGCCCAACAGAATGACCCAGTCTCGTTGTAAAGTTATTCAAAATTATTTCAGGTATGTGTTCTGTAGGGTCCTTGCCTCTTCTCTGGAAAAATGATGAAAAATATCACAATAAGGAATTAATCTATATCCTGATACTGTAAGTTCAAGTTTCAGAATTTATGTGGCAAACTGAAAAATTTTAAAGGTATCTTTCTTAATGACAAACTCCCACAGATGACTTATCAATCCCATGAAATATATCTAAAATTATTTTAACATACAGTGACTGTACCAAAAAGTCCTACTAGAAAAGTAACCGGTTTCATAGTAATGAAGGCTATTGCCTGTCTGCCATAACTCAATTACAATCTCATATGAAAACTGCCAGTAGATAAAACTCGCTTTAAGCAGAAGGACAAATGCCATTATAAAAGCAATTCGATCTGTAAGTTACAGAGTTAACTAAGCATATACTGCAAGGAGACCAATGCCAATCAAGGAATGAATAAAACTTACCTTAATTTCTTTACGCAAACGAACACTGCTCATTTTAAAATGAGCAGTTGGGCCATTTGGCAAGTGACTTAGAATTAATCCATCTGTTCATAAAGCTAAGAACACATTGAACGCGGTAATTTAAATCTTAAATTGTATAAATAACTGATCTGTATGTCCAAAGGCTCATAAAATTTGTAGCTAGGTGAATAGGTAGGTACATGTATGCCTCTGGGTTAACAGTTTCTTACCATACTCAAAACTAAAGCCCCATAAGTCAACCCAATATTTCAAAAAAAGATTAACCTATAGTACTCCCACTTTTTCTCTTCACCATATGATAAATGACTCATCACCCTCAAGAGGGTACGTTGGGTATTCAACAAAACTAGGCAAAAAAAGCTTATGTCCACTACCCTAACAGTAATAAGATGGGATTCTAGCGTAATTTTAGCATTGCAAACAAAAAGTTTACCTCCATGTTCAGAGGCCTTATAACCCTAAAAATGCACTTTCATACATAAACACATTTGTATGTATATTTTTTATACATTTGTAGGGTAAGTATATGCTGTCAGCTTTGAATACTGTCCCATAAGACTAGAGACTCCTAAGCTCTCTTTTTGAAATCAAAGTTACTAGTGTTTCTCGAAAGACAAGCTCTTATTCTTGGGATTACTGTGCCACAAATTAAAATCAACTATTAATAACCATTTACTGATTGTCTACCACAAACAGAGACTTCTGGCAGACATACTAAACTATAAATGAAGTATACCTACAACTGGCAGGGTTAGCAGCCCAAGGGCTTTAAAAGTCTGGAATGCAGCTACCTTATACAACATTCCTCAAGTCTTTGTAACACAACTTTATTCTTCCAAATACTGAACCTTAAAAGGAGATCAGAATCAGACTATTCCAAATTATCTGCACACAGTTTTACAAAACAAATGTTGCCATCTTTTTATAAAGGCATCAACATTCTCCCATTAGCCCATGGGTTATCTTCAACTTCCTCCTCCCTTTCTTACCAAATCCTATTTACTGCTTTTACCCTCAAATTAAGGACTTCCATAGCCTCCTCTTTACCCTTACTGCTATTCTCTTAGTTGAGGTCCTTGAGATTTTTCACCTACATTAAAACAGTATCCTAGTTGGTCTGACCTCTCTCACCATTCCAAGTACATTTTCTAATAGACTGTAAATCAAGTTTATATGTAATAAGGTATGGGATGCAACTGTCATTTTATCTACCATGGTTTCTCATGCTAAATGAAAAGCAAACTAGATACACCTTGAGTCTTGACAGCTGTAGCTAATTTCAAACTACTCTCACGACTGCTCATCTACAAAACAAAAGATACCAGTACAGCTCTCATGTGGCCCCAAATCACCTTTCTGTCTCCCTTATGCCTATGTTTCCTAACTGGTGGGCACACAATCTCTTACACACCATACATATTAATGCTATTATGTATTTTTTGTTCATGCTATTTCAAATACCTGCATTATTTAACTCATCTATTAAGACCCACTTAGTGAGTGCCTTTATGCTTGTTATTGTTTTATATATCCAGGTGCCCCCATGTTGGGTGCATATTTACAATTGTTAGATCTTGTTCAACTGTCCCCTTTATTATGATACAGTGCTCTTCTGCATCTCGTTAAGTCTTTGAAGTCTAGTTTATAAGTCTGATATAAGCACTGATACTCCAGCTTTTTTTTTTACATCCATTTTGCTTCTCCATCCCCTTTCAATTGGCATGTATCTTTAGTTTAAAATGGGTCTCTTGTAGGCAGCATATAGATGGGTCTTCTCTATCCATTCTGATTGGAGCATTTAGTCCATTTACATTCAGAGTAATTACTAATAAATATGTATTTAGTGCCATTTTATTACTTGTTTTGTCATTGTTTCTGGAGATTTTTCTACTCCCAAGAGTCTCCTTTAATACTTCTTGCAGGACTGGTTCAGTGGTCACAAACTCCATTAGTTTTTGTTTGGGAAACTATCTCTCCTTCTATTCTGAATGGTAGCCTGGCTGGATAGAACATTCTTGGCTGCAGATTTTTCCCATTCAGCCCTTTGAATACACCATGCCACTGCCTTCTAGCTTGCCAAGTTTGTTGAGAAATCTGCAGCTAGCCTTTTGGGTCTTCTCTTGTAAGTTAGGGACTTCTTTTGTCTTACTGTATTTTTTTAAGATTTTTTTTATCACTATATTTTGAAATTTTAACTACAGTGTATCTTGGTGATGGCCTGCTTCTGTTGACTTTGATGGGAGTTCTCTGTGCCTCCTGGATGTGGATGTCTATTCCCTTCCCCAAATTAGGGAAGTTTTCAACTATTATTTCCTCAGATTTTCTGCCCCCTTTTCTCTCTTCTTCTGGTACTCTTATGAGTATTGTTATATTTGATGGAGTCAC